TCATCATCATCATCTCCGGCCCCAGGTACCAGGGTTTGCTAAGTTGGTTTCTGGATGTACAGGCTAACGAGTGCTAACGATTGGATGGACCAATGGATGCTGATGGATTTTTGTGAAACCACATTGGTTTATAGATATCATGATCGAAGGAAGTTTAGAAGTCAAACTTCCGATAATATGGAGAAATGAAAAGCAGAGATGGGAAGAGTCAGCGAAGAGAAGAGAAGAAGAAAGAAGATCAAAAAAGAGAAAGTCTCAGAAGAAAGAAGATCCAGGTGTGCGAAAAAGTAGGAAAGTCGCAAAACTGTTTGTTTTTCCAATGATTTGTGGCTCCGGGGGGTCGAAAGGTAGGCTCGCTAAAGCGGCGGGTGCGGAGCCAGCTGACCAGATGAGAGATGAAAAATTGCACGCCGTTGTGGCGTGAAGCACATTTCGAAGTCAAAATGTACAAAGCACCTCAGCTTCGGAGCACTTTTAGAAGTTGCGCTGTCGAAAAAGTGCACGTCGTTGTGGCGCGAAACACATTTCCAAGTCAAAATGTGCAAAACACACCATGCACGGAACACTTTTAGAAGTTGCGCTGTCGAAAAAGTGCACGCCGTTGTGGCGCGAAACACATTTCCAAGTCAAAATGTACAAAACACTTCAGCTTCGGAGCACTTTTAGAAGTTGCGCAGTCGAAAAAGTGCACGCCGTTGTGGCGCGAAGCACATTTCGAAGTCAACATGTACAAAACACCGAGGTTCGGACCACTTTTGGACGTTCAGATGCTGTTTCGCGTGGCAGGCGCAAGGGATTGTGCACCTTGTCAAAGTGAGCAAAACGTGAGGGTTTTGTAGCATTTTTCAACTACAGCCACCACTACACCACACTACACTCCAATACACTACACTTCACTTCACTACAACTACAACTACACCTTCACTACATTCCACTACACTACACTCCACTACAGTCCACTACACTACACTACACTCAATTACACTCAATTACATTCAATTACACTCAATTACACTACACTACACTACACTACATTACACTACACAACACTACACTACAACTACAACTACACCTACACCTACAACTACAACTACAACTACACTACACTAATTGCATTACACTACACTACACTACACACTACACAACACACTACACAACACACTACGCTAGACTACAGTACACTACGCTACGCTACGCTACACTAATTGAATTACACTACACTACACTACGCTACGCTACCCTACTCCACATTGCATTACATCACATTACACTACACTCATTACACTGTGCAACTACACTACACTAATTACACTACACCACAACTACAACTCCACTACACTACAACTACAACTACAGCTGCACTACACCACGCTACATCCAGCAGTTGTGGGTGAGGTGACCGACCAGGTGACCACTGCAACCATTGCAGCCACTCCAAAAAACACAGCTCTAACCACCTTTCGCTCCATCAATGGATTCGCTCTGCCATCCGTGATTCACAACAACCAATCTCTCCTATAGGTTTCCTATTTTTGAAACTTCCGCCACCGCCTTGTGCGGTACTACTGGTATCATGATATATCTCTGGAGTAACATAAACCAACACAACCAACATGAACCAGCATAAGCAACATAAAGCAACCTAAAACAAGGTAACACGCCTCCTCAGTACTCGAGCATTTGACCTGGTATTTACAGTGTTTTGTGTGTATCATCATTCCAGGCCCCGAACTGCAAAAGTACGCAAAACTTGTTTTTCATGCAGAGCAGCTTGGGTTTCTAGTCTTTCTGGTTATGTCGGTAGACGAACTGGTATATGTATTCCCACAAACGGCGATTAATGACTTTGTCATTTCTGTTCTTCAAGGCATGTGGCACGATTTTTTTCAGCCACATCCAAGACCTATCTAGGACTTGTGTGCCCCTTTGTAGCATGACGTGGGTGTGTGCAAGTGCAAGAGAAACAAGCAGTAGCGTAGCATGACGTGTATGTGCAAGTGCAAGAGAAACGTGCAGTAGCGTAGCATGACGTGTGTGTGCAAGTGCAAGAGAAACGTGCAGTAGCGTAGCATGACGTGTGTGTGTGGAAGTGCAAGAGGAACGTGCAGTAGCGTAGCATGACGTGTGTGTGTCCAAGTGCAAGAGGAACGAACGTGCAGTAGCGTAGCATGACGTGTGTGTGGAAGTGCAAGAGAAACAAGCAGTAGCGTAGCATGACGTGTGTGTGGAAGTGCAAGAGAAACGTGCAGTATAATAGCATGACGTGTGTGCAAGTGCACGAGGAATGTGTAGTAGCGTAGCATGACGTGTGTGTAGAAGTATGCTTGAACGTTATTAGCCCCCCCACCCCACCCCACCCCACCCCACCCCACCCTACCCTCACCGTATACCACAAACATATCATCAACGTCCCATCAAAAACGTACACCGTTGCCGAGTACCGAGAGTATGTGACACCTAAAACAACACAGAACAACATAAAACAACACAAAGCAACAGTAACGGACATAAACCAACGCAAACCAACATAAACCAAGATCAACCAACTTAAATCTACCTTGGGGGTGGAGTTCTAGTTACCAGTCCAAGGGGCCAGTTAGTAAGTGGTTTGTACATATATATATATATAGACTCTATATCCCATGAACAACTTAGTTATAGTATGGTTATGTATGGTTATTTTATGTTTTTTTCCACTTAGTCAATTCATGTGGCAACCAACATGGCAACGGGAATTCCCCAAAAATCTCGGCAAATTCTCAAAAATCTGCAAGCAAAATTAATTAAACCCATTTGGTGTAGTTTTCCCCCATCCGCAACATTCATAGTGAGATGGTTGTGATGTGGTTATCATGTGCTCGTAAAAATGACAGGGTATAATTGTCATTCAGTGGGCCAAAATCCACTACTTCGGATGTCGATGACCAGAAATGCAGCCCGAAATGTGCCCCATCCTAAAGCTGGCCACAGGATGTTCCAAGTCCCAGCCTGGATGGGTGGCCCATGTTCAGTTGCCTGCGCGGAAACACCAGCTGGACATTTCGCAATTACAAAGCGGAAGGTCGTGGGAGTAGCCACATTTTACCATCAACTAGTGGGGTTTCCTGACTTGTTTTGTGGAACAAACTCTGCAAACATGTTGTTGCTGAGGTTGTTGTTCCCCACCTGTCACGTGAGGGTTGTTAGATTTTATGTCAGCTGGCCAGCCTTCCTCCTCCTCCTCCGTCCTCCTCCCCCTGCCGGACCTCAACTGCAAGCTCTAGATCACAGTGTTCCCCACCGGACCCAAACAGAAACCTCTGGACCAAAGTGATTCCCGTCGGACCTCAACTGCAAGCTCTAGATCGCAGTGTCCCCCACCGGACCCGAACAGCAACCTCTGGATCAAAGCGATCCCCGCCAGACCTCAACTCCAAGCTATAGATCGCAGTGTTCCTCGCCGGACCTGAACAGCAAGCTCAGGATGCCGGACCTCAACCGCAAGCTCCGGATCAAAGTGTTCCCCGCCAGACCTGCACAAAGAATCTCCGAAGATACACCAGGTTACCAGATAGAATGCCAGAAAGAATGTCAGAAGATATGCCAGATACATATGCCAGAAAGAATGTCGTAAGATATGGCATATATCAGGTTGCTTTCGTGCTAAAAAACAATGTCAGACGGAATGCCAGAATAGATGCCAGAAAGAATGTCAAAATAAATGCCAAATAGAATATGAGAATGAATGCCAGATAGAATGCCAGAGAAAATGTCAGCTTTGATGCCAAAAAGGATGCCAGATAGGATGTCAGAACGGATGCCAGATAGGATGCCAGAATAGAATGTCAGAAAAGAATGTCAGATAGAATGCCAGAACAGACTGTCAGAAAATATTTGCCATATATACTTTTCAGGTGAGATGAAAAAACAAAAAAAGGTCATGGTGGGGATCGCTTGAAGTAAAGTATTTCCCCACCTGCCAGGTGAGGGTTGTTAGATTTTATCACAGCTGTTCCGGCTCCTCCTCCTCCTTCTCCTCCACCTCCTCCTCGTCCTCCTCCTCCTCCACCACCTCTGCCTCCACTTCCACGTCCACTTCCGCCTTGCCAACTCTTCGCCAATCTCTTCGGTCCTCAACCGCAAGGTTCTGAGCGCAGTGGGCACCGCTGGACCTCAACCAGGGACCTTCCGAGCCCAGTGGGCACCGCTGGACCTCAACCAGGGACCTTCCGAGCCCAGTGGGCACCGCTGGACCTCAACCAGGGACCTTCCGAGCCCAGTGGGAACCGCTGGACCTCAACCTGGGACCTTCCGAGCTCAGTGGGCACCGCTGGACCTCAGCGGCCAGATGGAATGCCAGAATATATGCCAGAAAGACTGCCAGAATATATGCCAGAAAGACTGCCAGAATATATGCCACATAGAATGCCACATAGAATGCCAAAATATATGCGAGAAAGAGTGCCACATAGAATGCCAGAATATATGCCAGATAGAACGCCAAAATATATACCAGATAAAATGCTGGAAGATATGCCAGATAGAATATCAGAATAGATGTCAGATAGAATGTTAGGTAAAATGTCAAAATATATGTCAGAATATATGACTTGAAATGCCAAGGTGGGGATCACTCGAAGTAAAGTAATTTTTAAAGTTGTTCAATCATCAAGTGCTTCTGTCGCCGTTCTTGAAAACCATTGTCACACCAATTCGGGGTGCTGGAATCCCTGTCAGAATGGCAACAAGTGAGATCATAATGTGAGAGATTGAGCAGAACTGAGAATCTCAATGCAAAGAGCTTCCACAAACTCCATTGTAGTTGTCCTACGGTAGAACAGAGCTCTAAAGCCTGCAAAGACAGGATTGCAGGGTTACGGGTTACGTCAGATGGAGTTACCATGAAACATGACAAACACTCCTGAACCATTTGCCATCAACCAGTTATCTTCACCATATCATCACCAAATCTCTTGTGATTAAGCCCAAGGAAACCATTGTAGATCACAGAACAAATTTGAGCACTGTTCAGAGACCTCTGTCATCTCCTGATACTTGTTGTTTGATGGGAGTTCCCACGATGGGTCATGATGGGTCAGCACATGATCCCCCAATAATTCACGGCGTATAACCGCTCAAACCCATGAATCATGGCTCAAGTGGGTTGAATGTTACGGATTCATCATCTTTGGCCCCAAATATTGGGGTTTGCTAAGTTGGTTTGTAGATGTTGCTGGCCCATTTATGGTTGACATAATTTGATATATTCCGTATTTCTGGGGTAACATAAACCAACGCAAACCAACATAAACCTACACAAACTAACTTAAAATGGTCTTGGGGATGCAGTTCCAGTTGCAATTACAAGAGGATGTACAAGCACACTTACAGGGGTGATATCAAATTATGTCGCAGCTATGGCCACGAACCCAACTGCAAGCCCAAGGATGTCCAAGGGGCCTTGCCACTGAGTGGCGGTCCCGCCGTGCTGTCTGCCTACCATGGTCTAGCGGTCATGGGCATGGGAGCAACGAACTGGTTTTCCGTTTTTTTCATCAGAAGCAAGTCGTTGTTCAATCATGTTTAATCATAGATTTGTTCTGTAGCTATTGTAGCTGCTCTGTCAAACCATTGTCAAACCAATTCACCAATTCTGGCAGAGTCAGAATAATAACAAATGAGATGATATTTTCGGAGACTGGGCAGAAATGAGTATCCTGTTTGGGCTATGTTGGGGTCATGTTGGGCCATGCGGAGGCCATGTTGAGCTATGTGGAGGCGATGTTCTCTGCTTTTCTGCTTCTCTGCTTTTCTGCTTGTTTGCTCTTTTGCTTTTCTGCTTCTGTTCTTTTCTTGCTCTCTTTTCTGCTTCCCTGCTTTTTTGTTTTGTGTTTTTCCTGCTTCGCTGCTTTTCTGCTTCTCTGCTTTTCTACTTCTACTTGTTCTTTTTCTGCAGTCATGTGTATTCATGATATTTCCAACAAGGACAAACAATGACAAACATACGCAAACCATTCCCATATGTCGTGTTTCTATCTAGCAGGGTTTAGAACTCGAATTGACTTGTGTAAGCATCTGTAACAAGCAGATTCCCAATTTGACCAATTCCCACATATATGGGAATCTGCTTATGACAAATCCTTATTCGAGCAGTTTTGATGCTTTTTGGGGTGTGATAAGCAGATTTGTTTCTGCTGATAACTTGTCCCGGGCTAAATTGTCAACCAAGCTTTCGATTGCGGGCATTCAATATCGGGGGAAGAAATTATATGACATTATATGGGGTTGCATGCCAGGCAGCAAGTGGTCAATAAACATCAATAAACCATACATTGGATGATCAGAGCATCCAGAATTGACATCCGCATTTTTCAAGGCTAGAAACCGCACAGATATCACTCGGAACCGATCAGATTTGAATCTCTAGTGACTCAACTTTTATCTCCAAAGACAAATGTTCTCAACCATGGGTCCAGAGTTAACAAGTCGCTATCTAAGATGGTCAAATAGCAAGTCACTGATTGGTAATCTGGCCTTGAACCACATTCCTCTACTAGAAACGGGGGGCACTTGCACAAGATATGTTCAGAAGTGACTTTTCTTCTCATGGAAGGTGTCGTATGGTATAGTAACTATTACAACTGGGGTTACAACCCACTTACTAAGTGGATTAACCCTCCACGTACTTAAGTGCTGAGGTGGTCTCAGAATGTTCCAAGCCGAAGCCCGCCTTTGCAAAACCCACGGTTGGCGGCCCCGAGGCCTGCGCTAACACCGTTTTTTTCCGGAAAGTCAGGGGGGGGGATAGCTACACAAGGCTTAAGTTGTCCATTGACTCTCGGAGGAACCAGTGAAACATCTTGGTTTTTGCTCTGTGTCTGCCATCAATGAGTGGAGTTTGCATAGTTGTCTTGAACCAATTCTGTAAACATGATTTTTGTTTGACCATCAATCAGTTCTGTAGCTGTTAGCTGTTCTGCTAAACCATTGTCAAACCAATGCTGGGAGAGTTAGAAAAATTACTTCACTTCGAATGATCCTCACCATGACATTTATACATTTTCTTACTGGCAAATCTTCTGGCATTCTATCTGACATATCTTCTGGCATTCTATCTGGCATATCTTCTGGCATATGTTCTGGCATATCTTCTGGCATTCTATCTGGCAAATCTTCTGGCATTCTATCTGGCATATCTTCTGGCATTCTATCTGACATTTTATCTGGCATATCTTCTGACATTCTATCTGACATCTTTTCTTCCCGTTGAGGTCCGGCAGTGCCCACTGCGACCTGGAAGTCGCGGTTGAGGTCCGGCAGTGCCCACTGCGATCTGCAACTCGCGGTTGAGGTCCGGCAGTGCACACTGGGATCTGGAGCTCGCGGTGGAGGTCCGGCTGTGCCCACTGGGATCTGGACTGCGAGGAGGAGGCGGCGGGTGAGGAGGCGGAGGAGGAGAACAGCTCTGATAAAATCTAACAACCCTCACCTGGCAGGTGGGGAACAACAAATGGGATCATAATGGCTCGAGAAACTAAGCGAAACTGACTATCCCAATTTAAAACATCACCAAGCACTGAAAATATCTGAAAATTGTAGGTTTGCCCGCCCACGTACAACAAAGCGTAAAAAAATGTGATGTTAACACTTCCAAAAACAAAACATTTGGATTCCTATGTACATTGGTACCATAAAAAGTCAAACAGCATTTGTGAGATATTCATTGTTAAGAATTGAAGTGGATCAAGAATCACACTGACAAGAAACTGCGGCGGTGGAACCCGCCAATTCTTCACATGCGAGCATATGTTGTTTTGTTGTCACAACCCGAGTCTGTTCATACTCGTGGAAGTCCTCAGATTTGATGCCAATTTGCCACCTATACCTGGCTGATATTTTGAACCATGTGTCATCAACCAGCTGTCTCCACCATTGTCTACATCACAAAATCTCTTGTGAACCAATTTGAGCACTGTTCAGAGACCTCTGTCATCTCTTGATATGTGTTGTTTGATGGGGTTTCCACGATGGGTCAGCGCATGACAGACAATAAACCAGGTCGTATAACCATATCATATCACCGTATAATCGCTCAAAGCATGAATCAACAAGGACTCAAGAGCCTCATCATCATCATCATCTCCGGCCCCAGGTACCAGGGTTTGCTAAGTTGGTTTCTGGATGTACAGGCTAACGAGTGCTAACGATTGGATGGACCAATGGATGCTGATGGATTTTTGTGAAACCACATGGATTTATAATCATGACCGAAGGAAGTTTAGAAGCCAAACTTCCGACAATATGGAGAAATGAAAAGCAGAGATGGGAAGAGTCAGCGAAGAGAAGAGAAGAAGAAAGAAGATCAAAAAAGAGAAAGTCTCAGAAGAAAGAAGATCCAGGTGTGCGAAAAAGTAGGAAAGTCGCAAAACAGTTCATTTTTCCAATGATTTGTGGCTCCGGGGGGTCGAAAAGTAGGCTCGCTAAAGCGGCGGGTGCGGAGCCAGCTGACCAGATGAGAGATAAAAAATTGCACGCCGTTGTGGCGTGAGGCACATTCCGAAGTCAAAATGTACAAAGCACCTCAGCTTCGGAGCACTTTTAGAAGTTGCGCTGTCGAAAAAGTGCACGCCGTTGTGGCGCGAAACACATTTCCAAGTCAAAATGTGCAAAACACACCATGCTCGGACCACTTTTGGAAGTTGAGATGTCTAAAAAGTGCACGCCGTTGTGGCGCGAAGCACATTTCGAAGTCAACATGTACAAAACAGCGAGGTTCGGACCACTTCTTACTTTTGGACGTTCAGATGCTGTTTCGCGTGGCAGGCGCAAGGGATTGTGCACCTTGTCAAAGTGAGCAAAACGCGAGGGTTTTGTAGCATTTTCAACTACAGCCACCACTACACCACACTACACTCCAATACACTACACTTCACTACAACTACAACTACACCTTCACTACATTCCACTACACTACACTCCAATACACTCCACTACACTACACTACACTCAATTACACTCAATTACATTCAATTACACTCAATTACACTACACTACACTACACTACATTACACTACGCTACACTACAACTACAACTACAACTACAACTACAACTACACTACACTAATTGCATTACACTACACTACACTACACTACACACTACACAACACACTACACAACACACTACGCTAGACTACAATACACTACGCTACGCCACGCTATGCTACACTACACTAATTGCGTTACACTACAATACACTACCCTACGCTACCCTACTCCACATTGCATTACATCACATTACACTACACTCATGACACTGCCACAAATGCAACTGCAACTACACTAATTACATTACACCACCACTACAACTCCACTACACTACAACCACAACTACAGCTGCACTACACCACACTACATCCAGCAGTTGTGGGTGAGGTGACCGACCAGGTGACCACTGCAACCATTGCAGCCACTCCAAAAAAAACAGCTCTAACCACCTTTCGGTCCATCAGTGGATTCGCTCTGCCATCCGTGATTCACAACAACCAATCTCTCCTATAGGTTTCCTATTTTTGAAACTTCCGCCACCGCCTTTTGTGCGGTACTACTGGTATCATGATATATCTCTGGAGTAACATAAACCAACACAACCAACATGAACCAGCATAAGCAACATAAAGCAACCTAAAACAACACAGAACAACAGAAAACAACACAAAGCAACATTAACGGACATAAACCAACGCAAACCAACATAAACCAAGATCAACCAACTTAAATCTACCTTGGGGGTGCAGTTCTAGTTACCAGTCCAAGGGGCCAGCTAGTAAGTGGTTTGTACATATATATATATAGACTCTATATCCCATGAACAACTTAGTTATAGTATGGTTATGTATGGTTATTTTATGTTTTTTCCACTTATTCATGTGGCAACCAACATGGCAACGGGAATTCCCCCAAAATCTCGGCAAATTCTCATAAACCTGCAAGGTGTAGTTTTCCCCCATCCGCAACATTCATAGTGAGATGGTTGTGATGTGGTTATCATGTGCTCGTAAGAATGACAGGGTATAATTGTCATTCAGTGGGCCAAAATCCACTACTTCGGATGTCGATGATGAGAAATGCAGCCCGAAATGTGCCCCATCCTATAGCTGGCCACAGGATGTTCCAAGTCCCAGCCTGGATGGGTGGCCCATGTTCAGTTGCCTGCGCGAAAACACCAGCTGGACATTTCGCAATTACAAAGCGGAAAGTCGTGGGAGTAGCCACATTTTACCATCAACTAGTGGGGTTTCCTGAATTGTTTTGTGGAACAAACTCTGCAAACATGTTGTTGATGAGGGTTGTTGTTCCCCACCTGTCACGTGAGGTTTGTTAGATTTTATGTCAGCTGGCCCGCCTCCCTCCTCCTCCTCCGTCCTCCTCCCCCCGCCGGACCTCAACTGCAAGCTCTAGATCACAGTGTTCCCCACCGGACCCAAACAGCAACCTCTCGACCAAAGTGATTCCCGCCGGACCTCAACTGCAAGCTCTAGATCACAGTGTCCCCCACCGGACCCGAACAGCAACCTCTGGATCAAAGCAATCCCCGCCAGACCTCAACTCCAAGCTATAGATCGCAGTGTTCCTCGCCGGACCTGAACAGCAAGCTCAGGATGCCGGACCTCAACCGCAAGCTCCGGATCAAAGTGTTCCCCGCCAGACCTGCACAAAGAATCTCCGAAGATACACCAGGTTACCAGATAGAATGCCAGAAAGAATGTCAGAAGATATGCCAGATACATATGCCAGAAAGAATGTCGTAAGATATGGCATATATCAGGTTGCTTTCGTGCTAAAAAACAATGTCAGACGGAATGCCAGAATAGATGCCAGAAAGAATGTCAAAATAAATGCCAAATAGAATATGAGAATGAATGCCAGATAGAATGCCAGAGAAAATGTCAGCTTTGATGCCAAAAAGGATGCCAGATAGGATGTCAGAACGGATGCCAGATAGGATGCCAGAATAGAATGTCAGAAAAGAAGGTCAGATAGAATGCCAGAACAGACTGTCAGAAAATATGTGCCATATATACTTTTCAGGTGAGATGAAAAAAAACAAAATAATGTCATGGTGGGGATCGCTTGAAGTAAAGTATTTCCCCGCCTGCCAGGTGAGGGTTGTTAGATTTTATCACAGCTGTTCCGGCTCCTCCTCCTCCTTCTCCTCCACCTCCTCCTCGTCCTCCTCCTTCTCCTCCACCACCTCTGCCTCCACTTCCACGTCCACTTCCGCCTTGCCAACTCTTCGCCAATCTCTTCGCCAATCTCTTCGGTCCTCAACCGCAAGGTTCTGAGCGCAGTGGGCACCGCTGGACCTCAACCAGGGACCTTCCGAGCCCAGTGGGCACCGCTGGACCTCAACCAGGGACCTTCCGAGCCCAGTGGGCACCGCTGGACCTCAACCAGGGACCTTCCGAGCCCAGTGGGAACCGCTGGACCTCAACCTGGGACCTTCCGAGCTCAGTGGGCACCGCTGGACCTCAGCGGCCAGATGGAATGCCAGAATATATGCCAGAAAGACTGCCAGAATATATGCCAGAAAGACTGCCAGAATATATGCCACATAGAATGCCACATAGAATGCCAAAATATATGCGAGAAAGAGTGCCACATAGAATGCCAGAATATATGCCAGATAGAACGCCAAAATATATACCAGATAAAATGCTGGAAGATATGCCAGATAGAATATCAGAATAGATGTCAGATAGAATGTTAGGTAAAATGTCAAAATATATGTCAGAATATATGACTTGAAATGCCAAGGTGGGGATCACTCGAAGTAAAGTAATTTTTAAAGTTGTTCAATCATCAAGTGCTTCTGTCGCCGTTCTTGAAAACCATTGTCACACCAATTCGGGGTGCTGGAATCCCTGTCAGAATGGCAACAAGTGAGATCATAATGTGAGAGATTGAGCAGAACTGAGAATCTCAATGCAAAGAGCTTCCACAAACTCCATTGTAGTTGTCCTACGGTAGAACAGAGCTCTAAAGCCTGCAAAGACAGGATTGCAGGGTTACGGGTTACGTCAGATGGAGTTACCATGAAACATGACAAACACTCCTGAACCATTTGCCATCAACCAGTTGTCTTCACGATATCATCACCAAATCTCTTGTGATTAAGCCCAAGGAAACCATTGTAGATCACAGAACAAATTTGAGCACTGTTCAGAGACCTCTGTCATCTCCTGATACTTGTTGCTTGATGGGAGTTCCCACGATGGGTCAGCACATGATCCCCCAATAAATCACGGCGTATAACCGCTCAAACCCATGAATCATGGCTCAAGTGGGTTGAATGTTACGGATTCATCATCTTTGGCCCCAAATATTGGGGTTTGCTAAGTTGGTTTGTAGATGTTGCTGGCCCATTTATGGTTGACATAATTTGATATATAAGGATATTCCGTATTTCTGGGGTAACATAAACCAACGCAAACCAACATAAACCTACACAAACTAACTTAAAATGGTCTTGGGGATGCAGTTCCAGTTGCAATTACAAGAGGATGTACAAGCACACTTACAGGGGTACAAGCACACTTACAGGGGTGATATCAAACTATGTCGCAGCTATGGCCACGACCCCAACTGCAAGCCCAAGGATGTCCAAGGGGCCTTGCCACTGAGTGGCGGTCCCGCCGTGCTGTCTGCCTACCATGGTCTAGCGGTCATGGGCATGGGAGCAACGAACTGGTTTTCCGTTTTTTTCATCAGAAGCAAGTCGTTGTTCAATCATGTTTAATCATAGATTTGTTCTGTAGCTATTGTAGCTGCTCTGTCAAACCATTGTCAAACCAATTCACCAATTCTGGCAGAGTCAGAATAATAACAAATGAGATGATATTTTCGGAGACTGGGCAGAAATGAGTATCCTGTTTGGGCTATGTTGGGGTCATGTTGGGGCATGCGGAGGCCATGTTGAGCTATGTGGAGGCGATGTTCTCTGCTTTTCTGCTTCTCTGCTTTTCTGCTTGTTTGCTCTTTTGCTTTTCTGCTTCTGTTCTTTTCTTGCTCTCTTTTCTGCTTCCCTGCTTTTTTGTTTTGTGTTTGCCCTGCTTCGCTGCTTTTCTGCTTCTCTGCTTTTCTACTTCTACTTGTTCTTTTTCTGCAGTCATGTGTATTCATGATATTTCATGATATTTCCAATAAGGACAAACAATGACAAACATACGCAAACCATTCCCATATGTCGTGTTTCTATCTAGCAGGGTTTAGAACTCGAATTGACTTGTGTAAGCATCTGTAACAAGCAGATTCCCAATTTGACCAATTCCCACATATATGGGAATCTGCTTATGACAAATCCTTATTCGAGCAGTTTTGATGCTTTTTGGGGTGTGATAAGCAGATTTGTTTCTGCTGATAACTTGTCCCGGGCTAAATTGTCAACCAGGCTTTCGATTGCGGGCATTCAATATTGGGGAGATTATATGACATTATATGGGGTTGCATGCCAGGCAGCAAGTGGTCAATAAACATCAATATCATCAATAAACCATACATTGGATGATCAGAGCATCCAGAATTGACATCCGTATTTTTCAAGGCTTGAAACCGCACAGATATCACTCGGAACCGATCAGATTTGAATCTCTAGTGACTCAACTTTTATCTCCAAAGACAACATATGTTCTCAACCATGGGTCCAGAGTTAACACGTCGCTATCTAAGATGGTCAAATAACAAGTCACTGATTGGTAATCTGGCTTTGAACCACATTCCTCTACTAGAAACGGGGGGCACTTGCACAAGATATGTTCAGAAGTGACTTTTCTCATGGAAGGTATAGTATGGTATAGTAACTATTACAACTGGGGTTATAACCCACTTACATCCACTTACTAATCGGATTAACCCACCAAGTACTTAAGTGCTGAGGTGGTCTCAGAATGTTCCAAGCCCGCCTTTGCAAAACCCACGGTTGGCGGCCCCGAGGCCTGCGCTAACACCGTTTTTTCCGGGAAAGTCGGGGGGGATAGCCACACAAGGCTTAAGTTGTCCATTGACTCTCGGAGGAACCAGTGAAACATCTTGGTTTTTGCTTGGTGTCTGCCATTAGTGGAGTTTGCATAGTTAGTTGTCTTGAACCAATTCTGCAAACATGATTTTTGTTTGACCATCAATCAGTTCCGTAGCTGTTAGCTGTTCTGCTGAACCATTGTCAAACCAATGCTGGGAGAGTTAGAAAAACAACAAGTGGGATCATAATGGTTCGAGAGACTAAGCGAATCTGACTATTTGAAGCATCACCAAGCACTGAACATATCTGAAAATTGTAGGTTTGCCCACGTACAACAGAGCGTTAAAACATGTGATGTTAACACTTCCAAAAACAAAAGTTTTGAATTCCTATGTACATTACCATAAAAAGTCAAACAACATTTGTGAAATATTCATTGTTAAGAATTGAAGTGGATCAAAAATCACACTGACAAGAAACTGCCGCGGTGGAACCCGCCAATTCTTCACATGCGAGCATATATTGTTTTGTTGTCACAACCCGAGTCTGTTCATACTTTTGGAAGTCCTCAGATTTGATGTCAATTTGCCACTTATACCTGGCTGATATTTTGAACCATGTGTCATCAACCAGTTGTCTCCACCATTGGCTGCATCACAAAGTCTCTTGTGAACCAATTTGAGCACTGTTCAGAGACCTCTGTCATCTCTTGATATGTGTTGTTTGATGGGGGTTTCACGGTGGGTCGGCGCATGACAATAAACCAGGTCGCATAACCATATCATATCACCGTATAATTGCTCAAACCCATGAATCAACAAGGACTCAAGAGCCTCATCATCATCTCCAGCCCCAGATACCAGGGTTTGCTAAGTTGGTTTCTGGATGTTGGCAGGCTAACGAGTGCCAACGACTGGATCGACCAATGGATGCTGATGGATTTTTGTGAAACCACATGGATCTATAGATATCATGCTCGAAGGAAGTTTAGAAGTCAAACTTCCGACAATATGGACAGATGAAAAGCAGAGCTGGGCAAAGGCAGAGAGAAGAGAAGAGTAGAAGAGAGCAGATCAGAGAAGAGAAAGAGTCAGAAGAAAGAAGATGCAGATGCGCGAAAATGAAAAGGTAGGAAAGTCGCGAAACAGTGTGTTTTTCCAATGATTTGTGGCTCCGGAGGGTCGAACAGTAGGCTCGCTAAAGCGGCGGGTGCGGAGCCAGCTGACCAGATGAAAAATTGCACGCCGTTATGGCGCGAAGCACATTTCGAAGTCAAAATGTACAAAGCACCGCAGCTTCGGAGCACTTTTAGAAGTTGCGCTGTCGAAAAAGTGCACGTTTCCAAGTCAAAATGTGCAAAGCACCCCATGCTCGGACCACTTTTGGAAGTTGAGATGTCTAAAAAGTGCACGCTGTTGTGGCGCGAAGCACATTTCGAAGTCAAAATGTACAAAACACCAGGGGTTCGGACCACTTTTGGACGTTCAGATGTCGTTTCGCGTGGCAGGCGCAAGGGATTGTGCACCTTGTCAAAAGTGAGCAAAACGTGAGGGTTTTGTAGCATTTGCAACTACAGCCACCACTACACCACACTACACTCCAATACACCACACTTCACTTCACTACAACTACAACTACACCTTCACTACATTCCACTACACTACACTACACTCAATTACACTCAATTACATTCAATTACACTCAATTACACTACACTACACTACACTACACTACACTACACTACACAACACTACACTACATTCCACTACACTACAACTACAACTACAACTACAACTACAACTACAACTGCAACTACACACTACGCTACACTAATTGCATTACACTACACTACACTACACTACACTACGCTACACTACACTACACTACACACTACGCTACACTACACTACGCTACGCTACGCTACACTACACTAATTGCATTACACTACACTACACGACACTACCCTACTCCACATTGCATTACATCACATGACATTACATTACATTACACTACACCCATTACACCGCCACAAATGCAACTGCAACTACACTACACTAATTACGTTACACCACCACTACAACTCCACCACACTACAACCACAACTACAGCTGCACTACACCACGCTACATCCAGCAGTTGTGGGTGAGGTGACCGACCAGGTGACCACTGCAACCATTGCAGCCACTCCAAAAAACACAGCTCCAACCACCTTTCGGTCCATGAGTGGGTTCGCTCTGCCATCCGTGATTCACAACAACCAACCTCTCCTATAGGTTTCCTATTTTTGAAACTTCCGCCACCGCCTTGTGCGGTACTACTGGTATCACGATATATCTCTGGAGCAACATAAACCAACACAACCAACATGAACCAGCATAAGCAACATAAAGCAACCTAAAACAACACAGAACAACAGAAAACAACACAAAGCAACATTAACGGACATAAACCAACGCAAACCACCATAAACCAAGATCAACAAACTTAAATCTACCTTGGAGGTGCAGTTCCAGTTACCAGTCCAAGGGGCCAGTTAGTAAGTGGTTTTGTACATATATATATAAATACACAAATAAAGTGTATATCCCATGAACAACTTTGTTATAGTATGGTTATGTATTGCTATTTTATGTTCCTATCCACTTAGTCAATCCATGTGGCAACCAACATGGCAACGGGAATTCCCCCAAAATCTCGGCAAATTCTCAAAAATCTGCAAGCAAAATTAAATAAACCCATTTGGTGTAGTTTTCCCCAGTCCGCAACATTCATAGTGAGATGGTTGTGATGTGGTTATCATGTGCTCGTAAAAATGACAGGGTATAATTGTCATTCTGTGGGGAAAAATCCACCACTTCGGATGTCAATGACCGAAATGTGCCCCATCCTTTAACTGGTCACAGGATGTTCCAAGTCCCAGCCTGGATGGGTGGCCCATGTTCAGTTGCCTGCGCGAAAACACCAGCTGGGCATTTCGCAAAGACAAAGCGGGAAGTCGTGGGGGTAGCCACATGTTACCATCAACTAGTGGGGTTTCCTGAATTGTTTTGTGGAACAAACTCTGCAACATGTTGGCTCCGCCGGGGGGGTTTGCCCGGCTTGGAACAAGGTCGACTGTGACTACATGTGATGAGTATCCGCAGCCGTTTGTTGTTCTTGTAGTCATGGTGTTGATTTTACTGTGTTTTTTCATATAAAATGTGGTTGTTCACAAGTAGACTTCATATTTTTGTCAGATGCAATTGATCATTGAATGTTTTGACAATGTCCAAACTTGAGTTTTTTTCGCCAAATCTGGCGGAAAAATCAACAATCACCTGTAATTTACAGCGTTTCCATTTGACACGATTTGCATACATATATAGACAGACATGAAGTATACATACATATATATATATATCACATACACCAGAAGTAAACAGAAAGAGTCAGACAGAAAGGAGACACATGGCAAGAAGAAATACATTGAACCCAATCAAGATGAGGAAACGATGGACAATCAAACATGACACTGCGATTGCGTGATACGTTTGCACATGACACACCAGCAGCGTACCATGTGCACACATGAACACACCAGCAGCGTACCATGTGTACACATGAACACACCAGCAGCGCACCATGTGTACACATGAGCACACCAGCAGCGTACCATGTGTACACATCAACACACCAGCAGCGTACCATGTGTACACATCAACACACCAGCAGCGTACCATGTGTACACATGAACACCAACGTTGACACACCCCACCCCAACCCACCCCACCCCACGTACCATGTGTACACATCAACACACCAGCAGCGCACCATGTGTACACATGAACACACCAGCAGCGCACCATGTGTACACATCAACACACCAGCAGCGTACCATGTGTACACATCAACACACCAGCAGCGTACCATGTGTACACATGAACACCAACGTTGACACACCCCACCCCACACCCCACCGCCCACCCCAACGGTTACCTATGCTGTACAACATCAACACACCGCAGCGTACCATGTGTACCATGAAACAACAGCAGCGCACACTGTGTAAGACACATTATCAACAACCACCCCCCACACCCTATGGCAGCGTACCATGTGTACACATTCAACACACATTCACGCCGTACCATTCCTGTGTACAACTAATGAACACCTATCGGCACACTTGTTCCGACACACCCATCCCCCCCATCCCCATCCGCCAGGTACACGGTTCGTACAATCAAACTACCAGTCAGCGTTTCTTATACATCTGTGTTACCACATTGAAACAACACACCCGGCCCAGCAGTCGCAATTGCTTCATACGTGTTAAAATATTCCATAAATTCGACCCCCCCAGCAGTCGTTTACCATGGTTTCACACGTCCCGTTTATCCAAAACAACACACCAGCAGCGCACCATGTGTACACATGAACACACCAGCAGCGCACCATGTGTACACATCAACACACCAGCAGCGTACCATGTGTACACATCAACACACCAGCAGCGTACCATGTGTACACATGAACACCAACGTTGACACACCCCACCCCACCCCACATGTTAAAATTCCGGGCAAACCCCCCCGGTAGACCCAACATGTTGTTGCTGAGGTTGTTGTTCCCCACATGTCAGGTGAGGGTTGTTAGATTCTATGTCAGCTGGCCAGCCTTCCTCCTCCTCCTCCTCCGTCCTCCTCCCCCCGCCGGACCTCAACTGCAAGCTCTAGATCACAGTGTTCCCCACCGGACCCAAACAGCAACCTCTGGATCAAAGTGATTCCCGCCGGACCTCAACTGCAAGCTCTAGATCGCAGTGTCCCCCACCGGACCCGAACAGCAACCTCTGGATCAAAGCGATCCCCGCTAGACCTCGTGTTCCTCGCCGGACCTGAACAGCAAGCTCAGGATGCTGGACCTCAACCGCAAGGTCCGGATCAAAGTGTTCCCCGCCAGACCTGCACAAAGAATCTCCGAAGATACACCAGGTTACCAGATGCCAGAAAGAATGTCTGAAGATATGCCAGTTACATATGCCAGAAAGAATGTCGTAAGATATCAGGTTGCTTTTGTGCTAAGAAACAATGTCAGACGGAAAGCCAGAATAGATGCCAGAAAGAATGTCAAAATAAATGCCAAATAGAATATGAGAACGAATGCCAGATAGAATGCCAGAGAAAATGTCAGCTTTGATGCCAGAAAGGATGCCAGATAGGATGTCAGAACTGATGCCAGATAGGATGCCAGAATAGAATGTCAGAAAAGAATGTCAGATAGAATGCAAGAACAGACTGTCAGAAAATATGTGCCATATATACTTTTCAGATGAGATGCTAAAAACTATGACAAAATAATGTCATGGTGAGGATCGCTTGAAGTAAAGTATTTTTTGAAGGTGTTCAATCATCAACTGCTTCTGTTGCCGTTCTTGAAAACCATTGTCACACCAACCCGGGGTGTCAGAATCACTGTCAGAATGGCAACAAGTGAGATCATAATGTGAGAGATTGAGCAGAACTGAGAATCTCAATGCAAAGAGCTTCCACAAACTCCATTGTAGTTGTCCTACGGTAGAACAGAGCTCTAAAGCCTGCAAAGACAGGATTGCAGGGTTACGGGTTACGTCAGATGGAGTTACCATGAAACATGGCAAACACTCCTGAACCATTTGCCATCAACCAGTTATCTTCACCATATCATCACCAAATCTCTTGTGATTAAGCCCAAGGAAACCATTGTAGATCACAGAACAAATTTGAGCACTGTTCAGAGACGTCTGTCATCTCCTAATATTTGTTGTTTGATGGGAGTTCCCACGATAGGTCAGCACATGATCCCCCAATAAATCACGGCATATAACCGCTCAAACCCATGAATCATGGCTCAAGTGGGTTGAATGTTACGGATTCATCATCTTTGGCCCCAAATATTGGGGTTTGCTATATTGGTTTGTAGATGTTGCTGGCCCATTTATGGTTGACATAATTTGATACATAATGATATGCGGTATTTTTTGGGTAACATAAACCAACGCAAACCGACATAAACCTACATAAACAAACTTATGATGGTCTTGGTGATGCAGTTCCAATTACAATTGCAAGTGGATGTACAAGCACACTTACAAGGGTGATATCAAATTGTATCAAATTATGTCGCACCTATGGCCACGACCCCAACTGCAACCCCCAGGATGTCCAAGGGGCCTTGCCACTGAGTGGCGGTCCAGCCGTGCTGTCTGCCTACCATGGTCTGCGGGTCATGGGGATGGGAGCAACGAACTGGTTTTTTCCCGTGTTTTTTCATCGGAATCATGTCGTTGTTCAGTCATGTTTAATCACGTTTAATCATAAATTCGCTCTGTAGCTACTGTAGCTGCCCTGTTAAACCATTGTCAAACCAGTTCACCAAATCTGGCAGAGTCAGAATAATAACAAATGAGATGATATGTTCGGAGACTGAGCAGAAATGAGTATCCTGTTTGGGGTCAGGTTGGGTCATTTTGGCCCATGTGGAGGCCATGTTGAGCTATGTGGAGGCGATGTTCTCTGCTTTTCTGCTTGTTTGCTCTTTTGCTTTTCTGCTTCTGTTCTTTTCTTGCTCTCTTTTCTGCATCCCTGCTTTTTTGTTTTGTGTTTTTCCTGCTTCGCTGCTTTTCTACTTCTACTTGTTCTTCTTCTGCAGTCATGTGTACTCATGATATTTCCAATAAGGACAAACAATGACAAACATACGCAAACCATTCCCATATGTTGTGTTTCTATCTACCAGGGTTTAGAACTCGAATTGACTTGTGTAAGCATCTGTAACAAGCAGATTCCCAATTTGACCAATTCCCACATATATGGGAATCTGCTTAATTATGACAAATCCTTATTCGGGCAGTTTTGATGCTTTTTGGGGTGTGATAAGCAGATTTGTTTCTGCTGATAAGTTGTCCCGGACTAAATTGTCAACCAGACTTTCGATTGCGGGCATTCAATATCGGGGGAAGAGATTACAGTATATGATATGATATAGGGTTGCATGCCAGGCAGCAAGGGGTCAATAAACATCAATATCATCAATAAATAAACCATACATTGGATGATCAGAGCATCCAGAATTGACATCCGTATTTTTCAAGGCTTGAAACCGCACAGATTTCACTCGGAACCGATCAGATTTGAACCTCTAGTGACGAAAAACTTTCATCTCCGACAGCATGTGTTCTCAACCATGGATCCAGAGTGAACAAGTGGCTATCTAAGATGGTCAAAAAGCAAATCACTGATTGGTAATCTGGCCTTGAACCACATTCCTCAACTAGAAACGGGTCCAAACTTGCACGAGATATGTTCAGAAGTCTCATGGAAGGTAACTATTACAACTGGGGTTACAATCCACTTACTAAGTGGATTAACCCTCCAAGTACTTAAGTGCTGGGGTAGTCTCAGAATGTTCCAAGCCCGCCTTTGCAAAACCCACGGTTGGCGGCCCCGAGGCCTGCGCTAACACCGTTTTTTTCCGGAAAGTCAGGGGGGGGGATAGCTACACAAGGCTTAAGTTGTCCATTGACTCTCGGAGGAACCAGTGAAACATCTTGGTTTTTGCTCTGTGTCTGTGTCTGCCATCAATGAGTGGAGTTTGCATAGTTGTCTTGAACCAATTCTGCAAACATGATTTTTGTTTGACCAGCAATCAGTTCGGTAGCTGTTAGCTGTTCTGCTAAACCATTGTCAAACCAATGCTGGGAGAGTTTGAAGAATTGCTTCACTCCGAATGATCCTCACCATGACATTTATACATTTTCTTACTGGCAAATCTTCTGGCATTCTATCTGACATATCTTCTGGCATTCTATCTGGCATTCTATCTGGCATATGTTCTGGCATATCTTCTGGCATATAGATAGATAGATAGATAGACAGACAGATAGATAGATAGATAGGTAGATAGGTAGATAGGTAGATAGGTAGATAGGTAGATAGGTAGATAGACAGATGAGAAAAGAGAGAGAGAGAGATATAGATCGATAGATCGATAGATCGATAGATCGATAGACCGATAGATCGATAGATCGATCGATCGATAGAAAGATAGATAGATAGATAGATAGATCGATAGATAGATCGATAGATAGATAGACCGGTAGTAGGTAGGTAGATAATCAGAGAGAGAGAGATAAAGAGAGAGAAAGGGAGCAAAAGAGAGGGAAAGAGTGGGAGAGATCAATTACCTTTCCGTCCATCAGTGGCTTCGCTCTGCCACCCGTGATTCACAACAACCAACATCTCCTATAGGTTTCCTCTTTTTGAAACTTCCGCCACCGCCTTGTGCGGTACTACTGGTACGTGACATGTATATCTATGGCACAAGCACCTTTCTTGTATTTTGTATACACAATCAACTGGGGTATTTAGTGGCCTTGTTTTCAAACATCCCCACATGCAAACCAAATAGCAAGGGGAATATTAATTTGCACTTTGCCAAGATGCAAGTTTGGACCAGTGATTTAGCAGTGATACTGTGGATGGAAGAAATCCTGCGCCAGTTGATAGGTGATTTACCCCATGATTTTTAGGCTTTCTACCATCTAAGGTGGTGCAGGATTTCTTCCATCCAAAGTATGTCTTTTTTCACCACGGATTTCCCTCAAAGACCAGGAGCTTGGATGATTTTGGGGACCCCAACTCATGAAGTCAATATTCAGGCTTTCGATTGCGAGCATTCAATAAAGGGGTTGCTCAATAAACATCAATACCATCAATAAACCATACATTAGATGATCAGAGCATCTAGAATTGACATCCGTATTATCGTATTATTTAAGGCGTGAAACCTCTCAGATATCACTCGGAACCGATCAGATTTGAACCTCTAGTGACGAAAAACTTTCATCTCCGACAGCATGTGTTCTCAACCATGGATCCAGAGTGAACAAGTGGCTATCTAAGATGGTCAAAAAGCAAATCACTGATTGGTAATCTGGCCTTGAACCACATTCCTCAACTAGAAACGGGGGATACTTGCACAAGATATGTTCAGATGTGACTTTTCTTCTCATGGAAGGTACAGTAACTATATATATTACAACTGGGGTTATAACCCACTTACATCCACTTACTAATCGGATTAACCCACCAAGTACTTAAGTGCTGAGGTGGTCTCAGAATGTTCCAAGCCCGCCTTTGCAAAACTCACGGTTGGCGGCCTCGAGGCCTGCGCTAACACCGTTTTTTCCGGGAAAGTCAGGGGGGGATAGCCACACAAGGCTTAAGTTGTCCATTGACTCTCGGAGGAACCAGTGAAACATCTTGGTTTTTGCTTGGTGTCTGCCATTAGTGAAGTTTGCATAGTTAGTTGTCTTGAACCAATTCTGCAAACATGTTTTTTTGTTTGACCATCAATCAGTTCTGTAGCTGTTGGCTGTTCTGCAAAACCATTGTCAAACCACTGCTGGGAGAATTAGAAAAACAACAAGTGGGATCATAATGGCTCGAGAAACTAAGCGAAACTGACTATCCCAATTTGAAGCATCACCAAGTACGGAAAGTATCGGAAAATTGTAGGTTTGCCCGCCCACGTACAACAGAGCGTTAAAAAATGTGATGTTAACACTTCCAAAAACAAAAGTTTTGAATTCCTATGTACATTGGTACCATAAAAAGTCAAACAGCATTTGTGAGATATTCATTGTTAAGAATTGAAGTGGATCCAAAATCACACTGACAAGAAACTGCGGCGGTGGAACCCGCCAATTCTTCACATGCGAGCATATGTTGTCTTGTTGTCACAACCCGAGTCTGTTCATATTTTTGGAAGTCCTCAGATTTGATGTCAATTTGCCACTTATACCTGGCTGATATTTTGAACCATGTGTCATCAACCAGTTGTCTCCACCATTGTCTACATCACAAAGTCTCTTGTGAACCAATTTGAGCACTGTTCAGAGACCTCTGTCATCTCTTGATATGTGTTGTTTGATGGGGGTTTCACGGTGGGTCGGCGCATGACAATAAACCAGGTCGCATAACCATATCATATCACCGTATAATCGCTCAAACCCATGAATCAACAAGGACTCAAGAGCCTCATCACCATCTCCGGCCCCAGGTACCAGGGTTTGCTAAGTTGGTTTCTGGATGTAGGCAGGCTAACGAGTGCTAACGACTGGATCGACCAATGGATGCTGATGGATTTCTGTGAAACCACATGGATCTATAGATGATATCATGATATCATGATATATCTCTGGAGTAACATAAACCAACACAACCAACATGAACCAGCATAAGCAACATAAAGCAACCTAAAACAACACAGAACAACAGAAAACAACACAAAGCAACATTAACGGACATAAACCAACGCAAACCAACATAACCAAGATCAACCAACTTAAATCTACCTTGGGGGTGCAGTTCTAGTTACCAGTCCAAGGGGCCAGTTAGTGAGTGGTTTTGTACATAATTATATATAAATAAATAAATAAAGTGTATATCCCATGAACAACTTAGTTATATTATGGTTATGTATGGTTATTTCATGTTTTTTCCACTTAGTCAATTCATGTGGCAACCAACATGGCAACGGGAATTCCCCCAAAATCTCGGCAAATTCTCATAAATCTGCAAACAGAATTAATTAAACCCATTTGGTGTAGTTTTCCCCCATCCGCAACATTCATAGTGAGATGGTTGTGATGTGGTTATCATGTGCGCGTAAAAATGACGGGGTATAATTGTCTTTCAGTGAGCAAAAATCCACTACTTCGGATGTCGATGACCAGACATGCAGCCCGAAATGTGCCCCATCCTTTAGCTGGTCACAGGATGTTCCAAGTCCCAGCCTGGATGGGTGGCCCATTTTCAGTTGCCTGCGCGAAAACACCAGCTGGACATTTCGCAAATACAAAGTGGAAAGTCCTGAAGGTAGCCACATTTTACCATCAACTAGTGGGGTTTCCTGAATTGTTTTGTGGAACAAACTCTGCAAACATGTTGTTGCTGAGGGTTGTTGTTCCCCACCTGTCAGGTGAGGTTTGTTAGATTTTATGTCAGCTGGCCCCTCCGTCCTCCTCCCCCCGCCGGACCTCAACTGCAAGCTCTAGATCACAGTGTTCCCCACCGGACCCAAACAGCAACCTCCTTTGATCCCCGCCGGACCTCAACTGCAAGCTCTAGATCGCAGTGTCCCCACCGGACCCGAACAGCAACCTCTGGATCAAAGCGATCCCCGCCAGACCTCAACTCCAAGCTATAGATCGCAGCGTTCCTCGCCGGACCTGAACAGCAAACTCAGGATGCCGGACCTCAACCGCAAGCTCTGGATCAAAGTGTTCCCCGCCAGACCCGCACAAAGAATCTCCGAAGATACACCAGGTTACCAGATAGAATGCCAGAAAGAATGTCAGAAGATATGCCAGATACATATGCCAGAAAGAATGTCGTAAGATATGGCATGAATCAGGTTGCTTTCGTGCTAAAAAAACAATACCATTCGGAATGCAAGAATAGATGCCAAAAAGAATGTCAAAATAAATGCCAAATAGAATATGAGAATGAATGCCAGATAGAATGGGCTGAGAAAATGTCAGCTTTGATGCCAGAAAGGATGCCAGATAGGATGTCAGAATGGATGCCAGATAGGATGCCAGAATCGAATGTCAGGAAAGAATGTCAGAATGCCAGAACAGACTGTCAGAAAATATGTGCCATATATACTTTTCAGTTGAGATGTTAAAAACTATGACAAAATAATGTCATGGTGAGGATCGCTTGAAGTAAAGTATTTTTTAAAGGTGTTCAATCATCAACTGCTTCTGTTGCCGTTCTTGAAAACCATTGTCACACCAACTCGGGGTGTCAGAATCTCTGTCAGGATGGCAACAAGTGAGATCATAATGTGAGAGATTGGGCAGAACTGAGAATCTCAATGCAAAGAGCTTCCACAAACTCCATTGTAGTTGTCCTACGGTAGAACAGAGCTCTAAAGCCTGCAAAGACAGGATTGCAGGGTTACGGGTTACGTCAGATGGAGTTACCATGGAACATGACAAACACTCTTGAACCATTTGCCATCAACCAGTCGTCTTCACCATATCATCACCAAATCTCTTGTGATTAAGCCCAAGGAAACCATTGTAGATCACAGAACAAATTGGAACACTGTTCAGAGACCTCTGTCATCTCCTGATACTTGTTGTTTGATGGGAGTTCCCACGATGGGTCAGCACATGATCCCCCAATAATTCACGGCGTATAACCGCTCAAACCCATGAATCATGGCTCAAGTGGGTTGAATGTTACGGATTCATCATCTTTGGCCCCAAATATTGGGGTTTGCTAAGTTGGTTTGTAGATGTTGCTCGCCCATTTATGGTTGACATAATTTGATATATAATGATATGCGGTATTTCTGGGATAACATAAACCAACGCAAACCAACATAAACCTACATAAACAAACTTATAACGGTCTTGGTGATGCAGTTCCAATTACAATTGCAAGTGGGTGTACAAGCACACTTGCAAGGGTGATTTCAAATTGTATCAAATTATGTCGCACCTATGGCCACGACCCCAACTGCAAGCCCAAGGATGTCCAAGGTGCCTTGCCACTGAGTGGCGGTCCCGCCGTGCTGTCTGCCTACCATGGTCTGGGGGTCATGGGGATGGGAGCAACGAACTGGTTTTCCGGTCTTTCTTATCAGAAACAAGTCGTTGTTCAATCATGTTTAATCATGTTTAATCATAAATTTGTTCTGTAGCTATTGTAGCTGTTCTGTCAAACCATTGTCAAACCATTCACCAATTCTGGCAGAGTCAGATTAATACCAAATGAGATGATATTTTCGGAGGCTGGGCAGAAATGAGCATCCTGTTTGGGCTATGTTGGGGTCATGTTGGGCCATGCGGAGGCCATGTTGAGCGATATGGAGGCCATGTTGAGCGATGTGGAGGCGATGTTGGCCGATTTAGGAGGTATGTGGAAGCCGTGTGGAAGCCGTGTGGAAGCCGCGTGGAAGCTATGTCTATCATAGGGTTTCTTGCACCCCACCGATGGGCCATTTTGGGGACCCCTTGGGTTACCCTGAACCTTCCAAGAAGTTAGTAAGTGGTGTCATATATATAATATATAATAATTAGATATAATTATATATATAATTATATATGTATATATAATTATTTATATATAATTATATATATAATTATATATATATACAATATTATAAATATAAAAATGACCGAAGGAAGTTTAGAAGTCAAACTTCCGACAATATGGACAGATGAAAAGCAGAGCTGGGCAAAGGCAGAGAGAAGAGAAGAGTAGAAGAGAGCAGATCAGAGAAGAGAAAGAGTCAGAAGAAAGAAGATGCAGATGCGCGAAAAGGTAGGAAAGTCGCGAAACAGTGTGTTTTTCAAATGATTTGTGGCTCCGGAGGGTCGAAAAGTAGGCTCGCCAAAGCGGCGGGTGCGGAGCCATGTGGCCAGATGAGAGATGAAAAAGTGCACGCCGTTGTGGCGCGAAGCACATTCCAAGTCAAAATGCACAAAACACCGAGGGTTCGGACCACTTTTGGACGTTCAGATGCTGTTTCGCGTGGCAGGCGCAAGGGATTGTGCACCTTGTCAAAGTGAGCAAAACGTGAAGGTTTTGTAGCATTTCCAAAAACCATGGCAGGCGCAGTACAAAAGACATGTTCATGAGAGATGTTAGGAGGTCAGGGCGCTGATTTCCTGAGAGGGGTTGCATTTTGGAGCATCAGATCTGCAGGTTTACTAAGATGATTTTGCGTGACAGGTGCAGCACTTCGTATGACCTGGCATCAATTTTTCGTGGCAAGCGCAATACTTTAGACAGGTGGAGTGGAAAAATCGCAAAACGCATTGGTACGAGGCTGTCAGCGCTGAACTTAACTTTCCATTTTTGAAGGAAGTCTCGCAGACTTCTTTCGTTTCTGATGTTGTCAACATCCAAAAATGAGGACGTCTCGCAGAATCGCTTCGTTTTTGATGTTGTCAAGTTTAAATATTGAGGAAGTCTCGCAGAATTGCTTCGTTTTTGACGTTGTCAAGTTCAAACGTTGAGGAAGTCTCGCAGAATTGCTGCGTTTTTGATCTTGTCAAGTTCAAAACCTGAGGACGTCTCGCAGAATAGCTTCGTTTTCAAGCTTGCAGATAGACAGGTAGACAGACAGACAGGCAGACAGACAGACAGGCAGACAGACAGACAGAGAGATAGATAGCTAGGTAGATAGGTAGATAGATAGATACATAGTTAGATAGACAGATGAGATAGATAGATAGCTAGATTCATAGATAGATAGATAGATCGATAGATAGATAGATAGATGGATAGATAGATAGATAGATGGATAGATAGAAAGAAAGAATGATAGATAGATAGATGTATAGATAGATAGATAGATAGATAGATAGATGTATAGATAGATAGATAGATAGATAGATAGATAGATTAGATAGATAGAAGATAGATAGATTAGATAGATAGAAGATAGATAGATGGCTAGATAGATAGATAGATAGATAGATAGATAAGATAACTAGATAGATAGATAGATAGATAGATGGGTAGACAGATAGAAAGAAAGATAGATAGATAAGATAACTAGATAGATAGATAGATGGATAGACAGATAGAAAGAAAGATAGAATAGATGGATGGATAGATAGATAGACAGATGGATAGATAGATAGCTAGCTAGAGAGAAAGATAGATAGATAGATAGACAGATGGATAGATAGATAGAAAGATAGGATAGATCGATAGATCGATAGATCGATGGATCGATAGATCGATAGATAGATGGATAGATGGATAGATAGACAGCCAGATAGCTAGATAGATGGATAGATAGATCGATAGAACGATAGATAGATAGAGAGCTAGATAGATGGATAGATAGAAAGAAAGAATGATAGATAGATAGATGTATAGATAGATAGATAGATAGAAAGAAAGATAGAACAGATGGATGGATGGATAGATAGATAGATAGATAGACAGATGCATAGATAGATAGATAGATGGATAGAAAGATAGATGAATGATAGACAGCTAGATTGATAGATAGATGGATGGATAGATGGATAGATAGATAGATAGATAGGTAGATGGATAGATAGATGGCTAGATAGGTAGATGGATAGATGGATAGATGGATAGATGGATAGATGGATAGGTGGATAGATGGATAGATGGATAGATGGATAGATGGATAGATAGATAGATGGGTAGATAGATAGATAGATAGATAGGTAGATGGGTAGATGGGTAGATGGATAGATGGATAGATAGATAGATAGACAGGCAGATAGATAGATAGAAAGAAAGATAGATAGATAGATAGACAAATAGATAGAGAGATAGATAGATAGATAGGTAGGTAGGTAGATAGATAGATAGATGATAGACAGAAAGGTCAATAGATAGATAGATGGATAGATAGATAAAAAGAAAGATAGAATAGATGGATGGATAGATAGATAGATAGACAGATGGATGGATAGATAGATAGAAAGATAGATAGAAAGATAAATAGACAGATGGATAGATAGATAGAAAGATAGATAGAAAGAAAGATAGATAGATAGACAGATAAATAGATGGATAGGTAGATAGATAGATAGATGGGTAGATGGATAGGTGGATAGATAGATAGATACACAGACAGATAGATAGATAGATAGATAAAAAGAAAGAACGATAGATAGATAGATAGATGGATAGATAGATGGATGGATAGATAGATAGATAGCTAGATGATAGGTAGATAGATAGACAGATGGGTAGATGGGTAGATGGATAGATAGCTGGGTAGATGGTCAGATTGATGGATAGATAGACAGCTAGATAGATAGATAGAAAGATAGATAGAAAGAAAGGTAGACAGAGGGATAGATAGATAGATAGGCCGATAGATAGATAGGTAGATAGAAAGATAGATAGGTAGATACGTAGATAGATAGGCTAGATAATTAGATAGATAGATAGATAGCTAGATAGAAAGATAGATAGATAGATAGATGGATAGAAAGATAGAAAGATAGAATAGATGGATAGATAGACTGACAGATGGATAGATTGATAGATAGATAGATAGGGGAAAGAAAGGTAGATGGATGATAGACAGCTAGATTGATAGATACATAGATAGATTGATGGATGGATAGACAGCTAGATAGATAGATAGATAGATAGAAAGTTAGATAGAACGATAGATAGACAAATAGATAGATAGATAGGTAGATAGATAGATAGATGGATAGATAGATAGATAGATAGGTAGATAGATAAATAGATAGATGGATGGGTAGGTGGGTAGATGGATAGATGGATAGATAGATAGATAGACAGACAGATAGATAGATAAATAGATAGATAGAAAGACAGATAGAATGATAGATGGATAGATAGATAGATAGATGGATAGGCAGATAGATGGATGATAGACAGCTAGATCGATAGATAGATAGATGGATAGATAGTTTGAAAGATAGAATAGATGGATGGATGGATGGATGGATGGATGGATAGATAGATAGATAGCTCGATAGCTAGAAAGGCAGATGGATAGATAGATAGATAGATGCAAAGGAAGATAGATGAATGATAGACAGCTAAATTGATTCATAGGTGGTTGGATGGATAGATAGATAGATAGGTAGATAGATAGATGGATAGATAGAGAGAGAGAGAGAGAGGTAGAGAGAGAGAGAGAGAGATAGATAGATAGTTAGATAGATAGATGGATAGATAGATAGATAGATAGGTAGGTGGGTAGATAGATAGATAGATAGGTAGATAGGTAGATAGGTAGATATGTAGATAGATAGATAGATAGATAGATAGATAGATAGATAGATAGATTTTTAGAAAGATAGATTTTTAGAAAGATAGGTAGATAGATAGATAGATAGATTGATGGATAGAAAGAAAGAAAGATAGATAGATAGACAGATAGACAGATGGATAGATAGATAGATAGATAGACAGATAGATAGATAGATAGATAGAGATAGATAGATAGATAGATAGACAAATAGATAGATAGATAGATAGATGGATAGATAGATAGATAGATAGATGGATAGGTAGGTAGGTAGGTAGGTAGGTAAGGTAGGTAAGGTAGGTAAGGTAGGTAAGGTAGGTAAGGTAGGTAAGGTAGGTAAGGTAGGTAAGGTAAGGTAGGGTAAGCTAGGCTAGGGTAGGGTAGGCTAGGGTAGGGTAGGGTAGGGTAGGGTAGGGTAGGGAGGTAGGTAGGTAGGTAGGTAGGTAAATAAATAATCAGAGAAAGAGAGAAAAGAGAGAGAAAGAGAGGAGACATCGATCACCTTTTGATCCATCAGTGGCTTCCCTCTGCCATCCGTGATTCACAACAACCAACCTCTCCTATAGGTTTCCTATTTTTGAAACTTCCGCCACCGCCTTGTGCGGTACTACTGGTATATATATACATGTCAAGTGTATACCCCATGAACAATTTAGTTATAGTATGGTTATGTATGGTTATTTTATGTTCTTATTCACTTAGTCAATCCATGTGGCAACCAACATGGCAACGGGAATTCCCTCAAAATCTCGGCAAATTAGCATTGATCTGCAAACAAAATTAAGCGCATTTGGTGTAGTTTTCCCCAGTCCGCAACATTCATATAGTGAGATCGTTGTGAGGTGTTAATCATGTGCCCGTACAAATGACATGGTATTTTTTGGTTGCCGTGTTTGATTACCAGAAGGTGTCTTGGATATCACAACGAGGATTCCAAATATTCCATTTAAAAAGTTACTACAATCATTAATTGCTATAATTGTCATTCAGTGTCGATGACAATGCAGCCCGAAATGTGCCCTATCCTATAGCTGGTCACAGGATGTTCCAAGTCCCAGCCTGGATGGGTGGCCCATTTTCAGTTGCCTGCGCGAAAACACCAGCTGGTCGTTGGGATAGCCACACAAGGCTTGTTGCCCAGAGGGCCCAGTTAGACAGACATGTTGTTTTTTGAAAACATAGTTGCAAACTTAGTGAATTTTTATGGAATTGTTGTGTTGAACCAAACTCTGCAAACATGTTGTTGCTGTTCCCCACCTGCCGTGTGAGGGCCTTTAGACAGCCTCTAGATTTTATCAGACTTACTTCCTCCGTCTCCTCGTCCTTCCTTCCGTCCGGACCTCAACTGCGAGCCCCAGATCGCTGTGAGCACTGCCAGACCTCAACTGCGAGCTCCGGATCGCAGTGGGCACTGCCAGACCGCAACTGCGAGCTCCAGATCTCAGTGGGCGCTGCCGAACCTCAACAACAAGCTCCAGATTGGATTGGGCACGGCCAGACCTCAACCGCAAGCTCGAGATCGCAATGGGCACTGCCGGACCTCAACTGCAAGCTCCAGATCTCAGTGGGCAATAATGGCAGACCTCCTCCAGATCTCACTGCGCACTGCCGGACCTCAGCAACGAGCTCCGGATCGCAGTGGGCACGGCCAAACCTCAACCGCAAGCTAGAGATCAATGCCGGACCTCAACCGCGAGCTCCAGATCACTGCCGGACCTCAGCAACGAGCTCCGGATCGCAGTGGGCACTGCCAGACCTCAACCGCAAGCTCCAGATCTCAGTGTGCACTGCCGGACCTCAACTGCGAGCTCCAGATTTCAGTGGGCACTGCCGGATCTCAACTGCGAGCTCCAGATTTCAGTGGGCACTGCTGGCCCTCAAATGCGAGTAGATGTGATACAGAATGTCATGTAGAATGGCACATGCATAGAATGTCATACGAGATGTGAAAGTCAAACAGAATGTTACATAGAATGTCAGAGAACGTCAGATAGAATGGCAGGAGACATAATGTGCTGTGATGTTGCGATGTGGTGTTTGTGTCTTCGTAGTCATAAGTGAGGATCTAGGCATGCTCAAGAGGTGACCCTGTTGGTGGGTCGCAGCAACACATCCGGGTTGGCATACCAGGCAGTTTGCGCACATCTTGTATAAGCAGAAGGAAGGCCAACCACTTCTTGTGCCTTGTTGGTTTGCTTTAACACAATAGCATACCATGCACTGTTTCTTTTGTGAGATGGTGGATTTGTATGATCATTGACAGAATATATGTTAGAATAGATACCTTGACAGGCCGAAGTCAAGTAATTATTTGTTTAGGTTGTTCACTCATCAATTATGTCCGTCGCTGTTCTATAAAACCATTGTCACACCAATTCGGGGTGTCAGAATCACTGTCAGAATAACAACAAGTAAGATCATCATGTGAGAGACTGAGCAGAACTCAGAATCCCAACGAAAAGAATTCCCAAGAACTCAGTTGTAGTTGTCCAACAGTAGAACAGAGCTTCAAAGCCTGCAAAGACAGGATTGCAGGGATACCAAGGGTAGTTCGATGCGGATCTGCATCAAATAGAATTCCCATGCCACATAACAAACACTCCTGAACCATGTGTCATCAACCAGTTATCTCCTCCGTTGATTACACCACCAAATCTCTTGTGATTAAGCCCAAGTAAACACTGTAGATCACAGAACAAATTTGAGCACTGTTCAGAGACCTCTGTCATCCCTTGCGTGTTGGTTAATGGAATGGGTCAACCCATGACTTCTACCAAACCAGTTGATATGATCTCTCAAAACCATTAACATCTGGTTATCTAACATAGCCATGGAAAATCACCATTCTTAATAGGTAAACCGTCTATAAATGGGCCATGTCCCATGGCTATGTTAATAGCCAGAGGGTAATGATTAATCGGATACAACTCTGGTCACAGCTCAAGTGGTTATTGATTCATCCTCTCCAGCCCCACTGGGGCATGCCAAGTTGGTTTGTAGATGGTGCCTAGGCCATTTATGGTTCACATATGTTGACATCATTTGATATAATATATATATATACATAATTACAATGATATACTGTATTATATATTTGGGGTACCACAACCAAAATAAACCAATCCAACATAAGCCAACTTACAACTATTTTCAGTGCACTTCCACTTACAAGTCGATGTACAAGCACACTTGAGAGGGTTATATCATGTTATATCAATTTATATCAAAGTATTATAAGTCCAACGGCATAGAGAATGTAGGGTTTTACACAATTTAAATAATAAAACAAAGAAAAACCAAATTCAGAGCAAACAGAAAAAACAAACCAGAGAAGCAAAGAAAGAATACAAAAGATACAAAAAAAAAACACTGAGGAAAATCCATGTTTTGATTTATGTTTGTGTTGTTTTTTGATGTTTTTTGTGTTTCTTGTTTTTGTTTGCTTTTTTTTCCTGGTGATTCTTCCTGTCGTGTTGCTTTTTGGTGGTTCTGTTTTTGATTGCTTTTTTTTTGTGTGTATTTTATTTTTGCTAATCAACTTTCTCTGTTGAAGCCGGTGTCATACTGTAAGTCTATGGTTTGATATGATACCAAAATGGTCGCACTGATATCATAGAAACTTGATATATGGATCTGTATGGTTTCACTATCCAAAACGATATATACCATCAATTACAAGTGGGACGATATGTAATGGAAACTATAGGCAACCATAATACCATCTCTGGGTTTGTCCCAAAAATGGGGATGCCCCGAACAAAAACATCCAGCTGAGCCATGGGTTTCTGCCGGATCATCCCAGTTAAGAGCGGATAAGCAGGAACTCATGGTGCAATCGATTTGCCATAAATCGGCATCAAAATACACATAAGAATCTTGAACTCCAGTTTTTGGATGGTTTTAACATATTTTAAGGCTCCGTTGTACGTGGGCAAACCTACATCAGATACTTTCGATACTTTCAGTGTGTGGTGATTCTTCAAATTTGCTATGCTCAGTTCTGCTTTTTCTTTGTTTTTTTTTACAGTATTTTTGATGTAAAACCCTACATTCTCTGTGCTGTTGGACTCCTGTGTTCACATGTCGAGTCCCAGCTCCGTCGAAGTTGTCCCACCTTTGGTGGGGTGCTAGAGGTCGCCTGCGCTCCAGATCCCAGGGAAAATTGATGAACATGGGCAACATGGGGTATGGTTCTCCAAAACTTTTAAAAAGGTAATGTTTTAGAAACGGAATAACATTGGACTATGGCTAGATAGTCTAGTTTTTTGGGTCAACGCCGGTTTAACATATAGAGCCTAATATGTCTAATACATACGAATATAATCGAAGATATCCCCATTATTCCACAGGATCCACTTGATGATCCAAACATATTTGTACCATGTAAAAACTGGGCAAAAAAAAAAGAATTCCTGAATTAGGACCGCCATCTTGATGATTTTCTCCTTACCAACCATCAATCGCAGTGAGGTCGTTCAGAAGACAGGCGCACAGAATCGCAACGATGGTAACAGGAAATCCCGCCTTTTGCTGGAACTTATATGAACTTATTGGATATTCGTTGAGATTCCGTGGAACATCATGGAACCATGTTCAACAACTTTGGAGGTTACCTGGGAATACCGGGAGATGGTATTCAACGAGCATGACTCGGTGACTAGGACGCTGACATTCACGGCATCATCATGATAGCCATGTTGTGGGAAACCAAGCACTATTGGAAGAAGAAACATGGGATGATTCCTTACAAAATAATCGATATTCATCGATATTCATGGATAATGTGCTTGTGAATATCATGAAAAGTGGAAATTAGATGTGACATGATGTGACAGCCAATATAGCACGAGTGGAATGGTCTCCAAGCCACATGCGTTCGAGCACTGCTCCGACCATTGCAAAAGGTATTGCTGTGTGCATGGTGAGAAAGTCTCTCTTGCGGACCATGCCCACTTGCCAGTTACTGTTTCGGAATTTCCAAACACAGCCCTACGATGGTGAGACAGGATTTCCTATATCATCAACACCACCTCTTGTTGTGAATTCAGGTCAAGTTGAGCTTTGCTGCCTGGGGATCGGGGCGTTGTGGCATATGTGGCATGCCATAAGATTGACATGTCCGGCAGTGTCCACCTTGATATCAGTCACTTGGGTTGAACACTATGCTGGGTCCGCGGCGGGTGTGGGCTATACCAATCCCATGAGACCCATGAGACCGCCTTGTCAGCTGGTGCTGGTGCAGCTGGTGCTGGTGCAGCTGGTGCTGGTGCAGCTGGTGCTGGTGTTGGCTCCTGTACCGGGAGCGGCCTGGGAATACACCTTGGCTTTGAAAAAAGATAGCTGTATTTGGGAGAGTTTCTGAAAATGGAGTGATCTCCAAGTCATGGCTTTCAGTACTAGAATGGTCTGATGACTTGGATGATTTGGGGGTACCTCCATTTCAGGAAACCTCCAAATTTTATTGACAGAAAGTTGGACAATAAACCTGACACAAAGTTGTCTGTCTGCAACATTCAGCATCAGCAATCTGGCAGCCAGGCACCCCAAAAGAAGCATGTAAGAACTGTTGTGATCTCTGAACATGTTTACAGAAGGGGCCATTGGAGAATTAAGTCTTTGAAATGGTTGTACATTCCAAGAAATACCTCGCCATCAAAAATGCTTGCAGCATACCCAACAGGTGAGGCCCCCTAGATAGCAAAGCAAAACTATGGTTTGTGGTAGATATATGTAGAATTGTGTAGATATGTATATATACATATACATATATATATATATATACATATATGCAGCGGTATTCCACCGTTGCTGCCGCCCAAAATCATCGGACGCCGGGCCTCAACTGGCCTTTCTGGCGCCAGCTCCTTCAGTCGACGAGTCGACGACGAATTTTCAGATCGCCCGTTGGAAGAAACAGGAAACAAAGAAACGACAACTGGGATTGCCCTGGTGGGAGATGGATTCACCAAAATCTTTCCGATATCAAGAACATTCAAGAACTTGCTGGTAAGTGACGTTAAGTGACGTTAACGTGATGAAACTTGAAGCTTCACTTCACACGAATAGAAGCTTCACAACCAACGAGCCATCAAACATATCAAACATCATTTTCACGCATCAAATCGGGGGGCATCTCATCATACGTGTTGACCTCTGTCGTCCATGGTAGGGGGTTACTATGACCACATGGCAGATCCCCAATCTGGTTGGACATTAATTGGACATGAATGGATGATGAAATGGGGTACCTATTGAAACCCCATGGACATTATGGTTTTTGTATGAGCACAGGTAAGAATGGTTCTTGTTTTGGACAATGGACAATCCTATTGAAATGGATGAAATGGGGTACCTATTTTGATTTATGGGTACCCCTATTTTAGGAAACCTCCATATGGTGCAACCCCGTGTAGCTTGTATAATCTGCCGAAGTAGGAAACAGAGTCACAATCTGCTGTAATCCCCGCATTTGATACTTCAAGAAATTAGCTGGTAAACTAACATTAGCTATAGAAAATCAACATGTTCATAGCAGCCAAAAACGATTTATAGCAGGACCATGCCATGGCACGTTCCGCGCCGGCGCCTTCGGCGCCATGAAGGGATTCGGCGCCTGAGCAGATGTACTAGTGTACTGTTGTACTATTGGACTATTATACATGGTCATTTCATTGTAATATCATGATTTTGAGCAGTGTTCTACATGGTCATTCCATTGTACTATATTGTGCTATTATACCATATGCCGATAGGTTTTGATCAGATGTCCTGAGGTAACACTGCTCAAATCCTGTGTGACAAGCAACTTGAATACTTGGGGTTCCACCTAGGGAAGGCCCCAGCTACCTGAAAACACCTGAGGAGGAAAACCCTTACACCTCTGAAAACAAGGATGAAATCCCACGAGAAAATGTGTGGTTCTTGAACTAGGGGAACCCTCCCACTCAAGAAAAACGAGTCCTTGAGTTTTCAATATCAAAATCAAACTCATACAGTGATTCTATGTCATTCTGGGGTCCCCCTCTTTATGAAACATTCAAAAAGATTCAGATAGGTTTACGGTTTGGCATATCTTCTTTTGTCATTAATGACACATGGTTAGTTCCATGCCGGTCTTGCTGGGGCACTTTGAGGACATCCTTGCTGGATTGCTGTGAGATGGTGTGAGGATTCTAGGGCCTAGTTTTAAAACAAAGCGTATCCTGCAAGCTATTAGCAAAGAACTATAATATATATAACTAAATTAGTATTTAAGCGTATCATCTTCATTGTACATGTGATTGTACATATCTGATTATATCTGGCGGATTGTACTAACTCACTAACCTGAAAATAGCTGAAACATATAGCCATTTGGGATCATTTGGGTATGATTTCCTTTCCTCATTCGAGTCCTCCTGTCGCCAGAAGGCAATCTTGACCTTTCAGAGCCCACAGCGTTGCGAACTGGCGTTCAACACCTGATATGATCCTGTTCCAAACTCCGCTTTGCCGGAGCCAGAATGGTGAAGAAAATGTGCTATCCACAACCTGTCCCTTTCTGCCAACACTTGGCACTGGCAAATGGTCTAACAAAACCAAGCAATTGGGGGCCTGCTTACGCTCCGTGAAAATCACACGTGGCGATAATTGGGAAATACCCGAACCAAATGAACATTGAAATGATGTTCAAATGGGAAAATAATCTATCTAACTAACTGGGATTTTTTTCCAGCAAACCATTTTAAATTACCAAAGCATACTTGTCACCACAACCAATTATTTTAAGGAAGATATCATTGAGATTACTTGAGGTGTAATCCCACACTTCATGAGTCCTTGTCCAAAGAGTGGTGCATAGTGGTCTCCCCGAAATCACCCGTTTCATAATCCATTTTTGGTGGCAAAACTGGATGGCTCAAACTGGTTCATGCTATTGACCAATTTTGGACAACTATGAAGTTTTTCACCAGTTAACTGGTCCTGTCAGATTAGTGTGCCTTCTGACAATCAAACTTGCAAACCATGATTCCAAAACCCAAAACGACAATAAACACATTCACCATTTCTGTCCATAGAAAATAGATGAAAAACATCCAGCCATCCATCTCTGTTTACCATTGGAATCTACATGACGCTGGTTGGAAACATATCTGCAACATATCCCTAGCAATTCAAAAGGATGAATTTCCAGCAAGCCATGCTTGATTAATCAATCTCCCAATCTTCACATGTGTGGCCCACTGATAGATCAATTCAAAACTATGGCTTCATGGTTCTAGGATGTTCCGAGGGGTGCTATTTGAATCTATTTAATCTATGTCATCTATGTGATATCGTGATAGGGTTGGGATGACCAGACCCACCATTCTCACCGAGAAAATCACCTTCGCTCCGTTCACGGCAGCCTGGTCAAATCATTGGGTGTTCTGAGACCCAGGAATATCACCCATGTCGTGGGTGAGTTTTCTGTGTGGAAAAACCAAGGGGAATTCCCGGTTGAACCGTTGAACCCAGATCCAAAAAATCTCAGTTTCTACAGTTTTGTTGGAACCTGTTGGAACTATCCAAAAGGGACACAGTGACACACGCTCCGATTCCAGTGGGCGAAATCCCATGGCTTCTGTAATCTCGGTGACCATTCTAGTTTGGGAGACTCTGATCTTTTCGTCAATTGGTCAGGTTGTCTTCTCTTTCACACGCACCGATTTTACATTGCTTAAATGCAAGTGATATAAACAGAACATGTATAAATACAAAGCTGCAATAATATGTAATCTAGATGTACAGTTGTATACATAGATAGATACATATGTGATATATGTGATATATGTGATATATGTGGTATATGTGGTATATGTGTACGGTTAAGCCTCTGGTGCCCACAACTCTAGCAATAGATCAATTACACATGGGCCGCATGGGGTGCTTTGCAGATCTGTGCAGCCTGCAGGCCATATTGAATTCCCCATATCTGTGGCCACTGATAGATCCAATTCAAAACTATGGGTTCTGCATGGTTCTGGGATTACCGCCCACATTCCCAGTCTCGAAATTCGACCTTGTCTGCAGGTGTCCCATTGGTTGCAACATCCTCGACATCGCGAATTCAGCGAGATTTTGGAGGGGTCAAATCGCGCTGGAAGGCACACCCTTCTGTCATGGAAATATCATCCATGTTTATTTCATTCGATTTCTATTGGTTATTTTTGTAGGAAGAGAGTTCGATTACCAGAATGCACCCACAAACATGGAACTATTTTGGGGCATACTGCAGCGTCTGAAACTGTGGCCCAAACCTTTTGTTCATAGATGTGCCAAAACAAAATCGGCACTAGTTGCTTCAATACGTAAACCAATAAATGAGTTGATCATTTTGGGATGACATCCTGCACCGTATCCTCATCCTTGATGAGTTCATATAATATACATATGGCAACCCAAAAGTCAATAGAAATGTGTTTCCAGGATGGTGTGTATATATATATTTGCCTTATATTTCCACGATTCCAGCTTTTCTATCTACAGTATGACTTGTGGTAGCAACATTATGCAACATTCGTGTGACAATTGATAGAGGACTTCCTGAAACCGACACAAAGTAATCAATTATAAACATAATTCTCATCAATCAACAGTACTCGGTGGCTCATAAATGGGATAAGTGGAGTTAATCCACTTATAACTGGGGTTATAATCCGCTTACGATTCTTGGGATAAGCCACCAAGTAGTTTGAAGTTCCTTGTCAGTGTATACTCTTGCCACCGGTTTTCTCCAGCCACGGAAGTTGGTCTCGCAATGAATTGGGACGAACCGAGGGAGGTAAAGATGATAATAAAATATAAACACAGAACGGAAAATGTCGAGATTCTCAAAGAACTCAAAGAACTCAAAAACACCATTACTTTACCTCAACATACCTCAACAGCATTTACAAATAATGTTGAGTAGTTGGGTTACCATTGTAGATGGCGTTTTCACACGTTTTCCCCACCTATCATGTGATGATCTTTAGATCTTATGGTCAAAATGTCTCCGCGAACCCATCAAGCGCCTTCTCAGCTCCGTTTGAAGCTTGTTCCTGACGTCACTTGTGAGTCACTTGGGGACCCAAGATTCGGCTAAAGAATCTTTGACCTTTCAAAGATGGTGTGTGTGTGTGTGCAAGTTGAGGCCCCCGTTTGCACTAAGTTGACGCACATTTGCCTTGAGCTTAAAGGTTGTTTTTTTTTTTTATAATTATATCTATAGTCAATGGGTTTGTAAATCAACAAACATGACTACATGACTGGGGAAAAATTGGAAGTTGATGTTTGACAGAATGAGCTATTTGCACCCAAAATATAACATAATATAACCACATATCTGGCTGAATTGAAATATTTCTTAGGGCGTTGGGACGAGTGGTTTATTTCAACATTGACATAAGCCCCGCGCCGCAAGAAATCTTGAAAGTTGTTTTACGTCGTAAAGGGCATGGCAAACCACACCTAATGTTGTGCAAAGGGTAAAAGGGATTAAAAGGAATTAAAGGGGTACAATAAGCTAGAATTATAAGAGACCCGCAAACAAGAGCCGTTTGAGAAAGTCTGAACGAACCACGGTTTGCTGACTTTTCAGTTCAAGGATGTTTGGGGCAAGCGCAATATTTCAGCCATGCCCCGGCATGTCTTGCGATGGTGCGAAGCATGGCCAACTCACCCATGCTGAAGGAGATATGAGACTTGGGCGCACTGATTTCTCAAGACGTCCAATTTCAGTTTTTCACGGCGCGGAAAGCTCAATTTGGTCTTGAGAAACGAGCTGGGGTTCGACTCCTTCCTGGTCCGCGGTCTTGCTCCCCCAAGTGTTTCCTTTCATGTTTGGTTGCATATCTCGAATCTGATCAAAGGATGGAGATAGGACAAAAAATGAATCACCTTTCCCAGCAAGAATGCGGACCGGGGAGGAGTCGAACCCCAGCTCGTTTCTCAAGACCAAATTGAGCTTTCCGCGCCGTGAAAAACTGAAATTGGACGTCTTGAGAAATCAGTGCGCCCAAGTCTCATATCTCCTTCAGCATGGGTGAGTTGGCCATGCTTCGCACCATCGCAAGACATGCCGGGGCATGGCTGAAATATTGCGCTTGCCCCAAACATCCTTGAACTGAAAAGTCCAGAAAGGGTGGTATGTGCATGCAGACTTTGGGAAGCCTTTTTGTTGTCTGTCTCTTGTAATTCTAGCTTACTGTGCTTCCTTTCTACCCTTCCAGCTGCAGCGGGGGAATGAATAGTGGCCACAACTCAAAATCCTTACTTCAGGGTTTAGGTCGATTTCTGGGGTGACGTCGGGTGATGTCGGTCAATTATAAACATAGTCCTCATCAACCTACAGTACTTGGTGGCTCATCCCACGAATCGTAAGTGGGTTTTGACCCCAGTTATAACTGGGGTTATAATCCACTTACGATTCTTGGGATAAGCCACCAAGTAGTTTGAAGTTCCTTGTCAGTGTATACTCTTGCCACCGGTTTTCTCCAGCCACGGAAGTTGGTCTCGCAATGAATTGGGACGAACCGAGGGAGGTAAAAATGATAATATATAAACACAGAACGGAAAATGTTGAGATTCTCAAAGAACTCAAAGAACTCAAAAACACCATTACTTTACCTCAACATACCTCAACAGCATTTACAAATAATGTTGAGTAGTTGGGTGACCATTGTAGATGGCGTGTTCACACGTTTTCCCCACCTATCATGTGATGATCTTTAGATCTTATGGTCAAAATCTCTCCGCGAACCCATCAAGCGCCTTCTCAGCTCCGTTTGAAGCTTGTTCCTGACGTCACTTGTGAGTCACTTGGGGACCCAAGATTCGGCTAAAGAATCTTTGACCTTTCAAAGATGGTGTGTGTGTGTGCAAGTTGAGGCCCCCGTTTGCACTAAGTTGACGCACATTTGCCTTAAGCTTAAAGGTTGTTTTTTTGGGGGATAATTATATCTATAGTCAATGGGTTTATAAATCAACAAACATGACTACATGACTGGGGAAAAATTGGAAGTTGATGTTTGACACAATGAGCTATCTGCACCCAATCAATCATCATCAAACATCGAATGTCATGAGGGCTGGAGGGGAGGTAGAACTGCACCAACAGATAGACTCCGATAGACCCACTGTGCCAAATGTGTATCTGACATTTGGAATATAACCACCGAACCCGCTTCTATACTTCACAACTGGTAGATTCTCTATTTCTGTAACTTCATCTGTGTTCATTTGGAAACCCCGTTCACTTCGGTTCGCAATGTGCAAAAAAAATATGACTTCAACATTCTGCATGGTAGACAGTTAGACAATAGAAAATGCTCAGCATTTGTAACGTTCAAGTCCCCTCAGGATGGAAACAGACACAGATAGACACAGACAGGCCTCAAAATGCATCTTCCCTCGCAGACCTTTTCATATGGTGCAACGTGAAGCGGAAGTAGTTTGTCCCAAAACCAGGTCACAAAGTACCAAAACCAGAAAAAAACCCAAAATCCCCAAGTTATATATCCCCAAAAATATGACATTCCCCCCATCATGTTTTACCTCAAAAAAAGAGATAACAGACAGTTTCTAATTGGATCACTGTCATCACTGCCTTCAGTTGGGGATGGCACTGTTTTTTTGGGATCCCCCGGGGCTGAAACGCTGAAACCTCGCCTTCTCAGCGATCGGAAAGAGCGGTCCCATGGGCAGGCCGGCTGCGAAGGGATCGGAAGGCGCCTCAAGCGTTATGAAAACATGAGGGTCTAACATGGTTTGACTAAGGGTTTAACATGGTCTAACATGGTTTAACTAGGGGATTAACATGGTTTAAACTAGGGTTTAACATGGTTTAAACTAGGGTTTATGACGGTTGTAAAAGTTGTAACCATCATATAAATTGAGAAATGAGGGTTGGTTATGAAGTCGGAAGCTACTGTTTTTTCTACCTGGGTTAGGGATGATGAACTTCGCCATCCGGATGATTCCGGAAACCGTGTTCAACCAACTAGTATACTTCGTAAGGATAGGGGGCATTTTTTGTGTTTCAAATGGTGATTTGAAACCCAGCAATGGAGGTTTATTGCTTGGGCTTCCCAGATTATTCACTGTATCCCCATTAACGGTGATATAATGATATCCCCTAACATAAGATATTATACCTGGAGAACCTAGGTTGGATATTAAAAAAAAAACATTAAAATATACATTGGACGGAATCTAGATATCAAATTGTCCTTCAGGTACTACAATTTTAGATTTACCATTATTTACCCTCTGATAATTTAATAGTTTGCTATTGAAGCCATGGCCCATAGAAACAGTTGATTGTGCTCTTAAAATTATGTTTTTCTCTAAAAAACTGTCAGTTTACCAAATGGTAGATGGTGAAATCCCAATTCCTTGAGGAATTTTGGACAACTATGTATGCAATCTTCATCAGTCTTCCAGAGCCAGGAGGTGTTGCGTCAATTTTTGGTGGTCTTTTAAATGCGGCATGCCCCGAAAACACGAAGATGACCAAGTTTCATGAGGAAAATGTATCGGGCACTAGACTCCACCAGGAGTAGATCTTCGCTAAGATTCGGCTGTCAATTCCTCATCTCCGGCCAAAGATTACCACCTTTCCCATGGGAAAATCCACTATAAATGGCCATTTTCAATAGCTATGTTAAATTACCAGAGGGTATTTTCTATACATGGAGGTTTCGTCATGGGAGGTACCCCCAAATCATCCGAGTCATGGATGACCATGACTTAGTAGACTTAGGATTGAAACCCATGGTGACGACTGGGATCCCCATATGTTCAAAGTGAGCATTCTCCGGCCAGCCATGTGATCTTCCGATTTTGGTTCAATTCAAGCCCTTTATGTTTGTGTAACTGGGATCACCCTCTGGATTACCCCACTGTAAACGTTTACATAGATGTGGAAAGCCACCATACATATAGATGATTTTTCCCAAGGAAACCGTGGGTTTCCATATCTAATTACCTTTCTTTACCCTAGGGTACCACTTTAGTTGATTTTAGTTGGACCGACTCTGATATCCTCAAAAAGGTTGCTGGTTAACCAACCATTCGCCATGGGTCACCCTCTAAAACAATCCAACATGTCAGCCCCATTCAACAGCGTTGTTTTCCAGCTAACATCAGCTAGCCATATTTGATTCATCACATTCACATCAAATCCTTCGGCTTCCCAAAGTATATAAATAGATCTAAGATCTAAACGATGGTTTCTGGGTGAAAACTGGAGCTTGGTATTTGATATTGGGATATATTTTAAAGGGATACTGGTAAATTCACACTTTGGGAAGGGGAAACTGGCCCGGAGAAATCCATTTGATTTACCTAATTATATTGACGGTGATGATCCATTTACCATATCGTTACCTATGATTTCATGGTGATGTTCCACTTCGCAAAGTCCCCAGTCCAAAAATCCATGGGACCCAAAGGTCGACGACTCGCCCCCTCCGCCTTCTCGGGCGTCCCGTTCTTCTCGGGTGTCCCATTGGTGGCTGGCGCGCCAGCCTGGCGGTACCCTCCGGTAGCCAAACATGGCAAGCTAGAGAATCCCCGAAGTAAATGGAGGTTTGGCCCTGGGACATTTATCTATAAATAGGGATTTTCCAGCTAGCCATGTTCGATTACTGGATAGGTGGTTTAGCCCATTATTCATAGGGTTTCAACTCAAGCATCCTTTTGGTGGTGCACCAGTCGGCAACTGTTAGTAACTATGAAACACTGTAAATAATGGGATTATAAGGAGATAAACCATCGTTTTCAACTGGTGCAGGACTCCGCAACCATCCACCGTAGGATTTGAATAAATCATGAGAATCCCCAATATATCATATTGGCTAGTGAAACACAAAGGGAATTACCATTAAATATATTGTTTACTACCCCAATCATGAGAATCCCCAATGTTGGGTAGTAAAACATATAATGTGGCGAAAAAACAATGCCATAAACCATCCCCCAGTCATCACCATTTTTATAGGTGGGATTCCAACCATTCCCAAATGGGTGGTTTATGGCATTGTTTTACCCCATACATTGGTTAGTAAAAAATGTAGGGAATTAACTTCATATAATCATCAACCAATAGGGAATTTGAACACTGTAAAAATAATCCCCCCTCTGGCAGTCCAAGACGGCGGCTGGAAATCCACCATTTAGTTTCATGAATTGTGCATCGGCCAAATATTCAAATTTCCCCTGCCATGTTTCATTAGCTACCCGGCTACCTGCTGGTTATTTCACATGGAAAATTCATACTTTTAATGGGCACATATGGGATCATCATTTTACGTTGCTAGGTTGAATTACTGGAGGGATCTGGAGGGGATGTCATGGTATGTCTATTGATACATGTTACCAACTTTTCAGCAATTGCGGTATATTGCCAGACCTTGCCCAAAAAACTATAATCATTTTGGGGATGATAGGTGCATCTTGGTGCTAAGCCACGAACAACGAATCTATGGCGTGCGGGGTCTGCATGATTTTGTTTTTCACACACCGTCTCAAAATAGCCATGTTTCGTTCACCCAAAATGAGGAGAATATGTGAGAAAATTATGAGAATATGGGTGGTTCCAAGATGTCCTTCCCTCAAATTTATTTCTTTTGCTGCTTTAAAAACAATGAGCAGTTCAATTCACCGGGGCTGAACTCTCCCAAAGGGTCACCAAAAAATCGATAAATCTGATAATGTTCGTAAAGTAATTTAATATTCAACCAGCCATATGTTCTTAAAAAAACGATGTATATATATATAATAATTATAATATATATTGTTCATGGTTATTTATAGCACCCATCAAAATATGGTCAATTTAAGGACCTTACTATTGCTGAAACCATCTTGGGGCAATCACCGAGCAAGGTGGCGAAAGATCGACCAAGGTGATCTGACAGCCCCTCGCAACAAAATAGATTGGTTGATTACCCATAGGGACTTATAACTTATACTATTTAATTAACTGGGGATTATGATCGGCCCCATAGGATTGGGAAACCGTTGCCAGTATTTCATGAGATGGGAACATCGGCATGTTTAATGGCTCACATAGCCGACATAGATAGCAGGCAAAAAGTGCAACAGTGTTGCTGCGTCATGTGAAGTTTAGGTCACGCATGGTCACGCATTTTGGCACCCTGGTTGAAGTTCTCTCCCCGTTCCTGGTTGTTCAAACTGGAGCTGGTGAAGCCCTGCACTAGTTTTTTCCTGGTAAAATATTATATACTTTTAATCTGGGCAAATTATGACAAGTACCCTGAAATAAGGCCATTTGCCATCAGTCAGGTCACGACGTGAGGTCCCTATCTATATCTATATATAATTAGTTTGTTATACATTTGCACTGTTGCACCATCCCCACAATGATTCACTTTTGCTGATTAATTCCCACATTCTTTTACAACTAGTTAAATGTCCCATGTTTGTGGACCAATACAGTCATAAAACCTCTGGTGTTATCAGCCACCCGATTTTCGGGAAGGCCTTTGATGTTGCCAAATTTTGACGGACATCAAACTACCTACAGACACTGATAGCCTCGCGTTTTACCAAACTTGGCCATTGGAACTCTATCGAGTTCCCCGTTACTTACTGGTGCTAAACGCAGGGAATTTTCGGGAATGATCCACTGGCTCACTAGTAATCATCATCAGAAATCATCCCATTCCCATCCATTGCCATCCATTGCCTATGTTTAGCACCAGTACCCTCTGGTAATTTAACATAGCGAACTGGAAAATCACCATTTTTAATGGGAAAATCCACTATTAATGGTCATTTTCAATAGCTACGTTAAATTACCAGAGGGTAAGTTTAAGGTGGATTTTCCAGCGACTCGGCTGATAACCAAAGGGTGGAAGACCCAGGATTTCAGATGTGGAAAATCCACACCTTCTCCACCATCTCGGCCTTTGGATGTTCCTGCGACCAAGATGACCAAGCATGGCGTCATGACTGCCGGTGACTGAACCATAGGAAAATGGTGATTTCGCCAACAGAAATGGTGGTTGAATGGGATTTATAGCTGAGCTATAGCAAAGTTGGTAAGCATAACTGCAATTTCATGACCGGATTCTTGTTGGGAATACATCCAACTACAAAAAATGGGGCTTTATAAACCAACTTTTCTTTCTGGGGTGCAGCATCTTATGGTAATCAGACATGTTTTGTTCATTGATTTTCCCATGAAGACCTCCACTGAATGTTCGGGGAAATTTTCTACTCGAAATTCTGATGTTCCGTTGTGAAATTACCAGAGGGTAGCATATCCCAGTAAACAAAGGGAAATTCGACGATCCAAGGATTAGTTGGCAACACAAAAATGCCAACCGCGGCTTTGCTGGAGAACTGCGCCATGGAACTCGCGGGGCGAGTTCACCATGTCTGGTGACATGTTACCATGGAGTCACTTACTCCCTTCCCCCGTGTCTATCAAACACCCCCAAACGAAACCATGGTCAAAAGTAGGGAATTTCCACATCGGACCATGCAATGGAGGTGTTGAATATGAGGGGGATGGGATTGCCGGGATTGCTGCCTCTTTCACCTGGGTCTGGGAACATTCAGATAATTGAATTCCCAGGCCATTTCGGGGAATGATTCCTCGTCTTATCATCATCGTCACTACTTCGCAACGTGAGGTCGTGAGAGTTTGATGATCCAGATGAACGATCATAGGCTTTACATGGTTTTACCACATTCATTATCCATTAATTGGCCAGTAATATTGTATACAGTGGTTGATAGACCTTGATATTTATACATACTTATACCAGGGAATTGAGTACCAACAAAGCATATTAATGACCAAGTATTCATTGTTTTGTGTATTAATACTGATAGCACTACAACTTATTGCCGGTTATATGATTATTTCGACACTAATCATTGCCAATAACACTAGTTTTTGCTCCAATTGTTCTTGCGGATTATAGCACCATTAATAATCCTATTCCTGTAATATTGAACATCCCCATTGCATGGTCCCAAATATGTGCACAGTCTATATTTTTTCTCATGGTTTCCATGGTGGTGTTTAATATCAACAGGGGACGGGATTGAATGCAAAGATTAGAAACCATATCTTTCAAAATGTGTAGCAAGTAGCAATAAGTTGAAACAAATATGTATAATGAGCTACTCCTAATTTATCACAGCCATGGAAAATGACCCATTTAGTTCGATGATTGCGCATACAAGAAGGCCATTTTCCACAGCTATGTTGAAATACCAGAGGTGAGTGTGTATATATATAATAATAATAATTACTGTAATCATTATATATATATATATATGCATGAGCCGTTGTCAAAACTCATTGTTTTCGCTTGGTTCCCGAAAATTTGGTATCGCTTTTGGGGGGCCCTATCGCTATCCATGGTTTTGCAAAAAGAGGCAAGGAAGAGGAACGGAAGAGGAACGGAAGAGGAAAGGAAAAGGAAAAGGAAAGGGAAAAGGATAAGGAAAAGGGAAAGGGAAATGATTGGGAAGAGGAAAAGAAAAAGAAAGGAAGAGGAAAGGACAAGGATTGGGAAGAGGAATGGAAAAGGATCGGGAAGAGGAATGGAAAAGGATCGGGAAGAGGAAGGAAAAGGACTGGGAAGAGGAAAAGAAAAGGAAAGGAAGAGGAGAAGAAGAGGAAAGGAAATGAAGAGGAAAGGAAGAGGAAAGGAAAAGGAAAAGAAGAGGAAGGGAAGAGGAAAGGGAGAGAAAAGGAAAGGAGTAAAGGCACAGGAAGGGAAGAAGAGGGAGAAAAGAAAGAAAAGATCTATTTGTGGTCTGGTCTGGGGCTACTTTTTAAACAAATGGGTCTTGCTAAGGTATCCCTAGAGATATCGCTTATTTAGCCTCTTGCATGTACGTAACTTTGTGCAAAACAACTTCAGATGTGGACATTATGCACAATTATAGGTATCGCTTTTCGGGGGGCCATATCGCTACACAATGTTTTGTGCATTTTCCAGACACCAAAGAACTCTCCTTGCATAAGTAGTATGCCAGAGTTTTGACCGTACCTCATACATACACTATACACACCCTCCGGTAATCAAACGTGGCAAAGCAAAATCCAATGAATTGTTTATTCTCCCAGTAAATCTCCATTTATACTAGATGTTCAATTGTCATGTTTGATTACCGGTGGTAAGTCATACTCGTACTGCTTAATGCTTGGCTTTGACTATATAATAAGAATTTGTGATTTTCCATAGCTTTGATTACAGCACTTTATGTTGTGAACACCAACTAAAATGGAAATATCTTTGAAAAATCAATATTCAGTCTACTTGAGGATGATCATCTATATGTATATGTATATATAACAAAACATAACAATACTTTATCTTGTTTGGAAACCATCAACCCTTCCAAGATCCCTCCGGATCGTGGCCTTTTCGGGCGTGGGACATGATGTTCCATTGGAGATCGTGCCCCAGCGCTCCTGCAGAGACGGATCGACGGAAGGATCGTTCAACCCTGATCACTTGGAGGTTTCAGAAGTCATAGGGGTACCCACAAATCATCCATTTTACTGGGATTTCCGTTTATAAATCATCCATTTGGGGTACGCCTATTTTCGGAAACGTGCACTGAAAAAACTATGATACACTATGCTTACATGCCCAAAGAAATATCTCCTACAACTATGGTTGGGCTAAATACTTGGATATAGCCCCTCATAATCAAACATGGCTGGAAAAAAACACAATTTAGTTCGATGATTTTCCAAGCTATAATACTCCTTCATTTGTAGGGGCTTTTCCAGCCAGCACGTTTGATTGGCGGAGGTTAATAGAAACGATGGGGACATTCTCTACCTGAGCAGACGCTGATGAACAGATTGTACATCAGTTGGTAATGTACTAGGTTGCAAACTGGAAACACCCCATGCTTAATAGGTAAATCATCCATTTTCATGTGCCATGTTCAATAGCAAGGGAATAATCCAGGCATGGGGTTCCTTGTGATGGGGCTCCAGCCATAGTCATCCTAGTAGTAGTGCCGCGATTCATGACTAAGTTGGTATACGCATAACTCCAATTTCACAAATGGCTTTGCGACATCTACCAGTATTTATATAATAGTGTATATATATATGGGTAAATTATAATATTTCACTAACCTGAATTAAGGCCATATTGGGATAATTCCCCTGATTAACAATCGTTTCCAGTGAGGGAGAAAAGTGAGGTCGTTGTAACTTACTCAGATAATAACTATATATTATTAATAGTTATCCATGATTATGTATTTATTATTTAATAATATACCAGTATTTAATAGATAGACATATATTCTTTAATAAACTAGTTGGATCATAATTATAACTTGTAACTAGATACTAAATTATCTATTATATGATAACTAATATATATAGAATATCATATCGAACCAATTGGATGATCTTCCACGAATTTCATCACCACATTGCGCACATTGCGCACACTCTCTGATCCAACCATCTGAGGGGGTGCCCCGGCACCACCTTGTAGTGAGTTAAATGGGGATACTCCCTTTATCGCTGGATGGTTTATTTCATGGAAATTCCTATAAAAAATGGATGAGAACTGGGGGTCCCCCAAGTTTGCGAAACTTCCAAAGGATCGTTCACCAATACAAAAGACCCTGAGCCTCATCAAGAAGTGAACATAGCTAGGAATCGGAACCTGTTCAGCTCATGCCTGATGAGGCAATAAGTTTGTCCAAAAATGGATACACATATACACACGCATACCCCCAGTAGGAAAATCACCAATTTGGCGTTGCAGTGGCTCAGCAGGAGTTGCTTGAAACAGCTTGGTGGGCGTTGCAGGGATTTCACAGATTTCACCAATAGTTCGATGATTTTCCGAGCACCTCCTCCCGGCTTCTGTATTGGCAAACCTTCCAAGATCTTCCAATGTAGATCTGTTCACCCGATGCAGTACTCAAGACTTGAGAGCTTTTGCTCGACAAAACAGAAGAAATGGAGGTATGACTCATATTGTTTGCCAATAATTTGTGCATTTCACCTCGAATAATGTGAAAATACCCCTGACAAATGGTATAATTATATATCTGGCTGAAGTAATTCACCAACCTTAAAATTTTGGCCATGTTGGAATAGCTACCCCGACAAATCCCATCATTCCAGGATGACGTGGCAACGTTCTATCCCCATGAGTATTCTGTGATGTCTAATATATAATGATATATAATTATATATATATAGAGATCTCATAAAATGGGGAAACCCGCAAATCATCCATATATAGATAGATGTTCCATTATAAGCCATCCAGCTATTGGTGTATTTCCATTTATGGAAACCCTGATATATATATATATGATATTATATATAGCCCAGTATACCACCATTCAAGGTCTGTTTGGGCCAAGGCCAAAACCCGGATGGTCATCGCCGATATCACAATGAGTCATCCTCCGGTTACTGAAGCGTGGTCTATACCGAAAATACATGAAAATACTACCATTTCGTTGGTTGTTCATAGTTTTCACCGATGTTTCCATGGGTTTCATCGATGTTTTGCATGTTTTTGTTATTGATTTTTATCGATGTTCCATTGTTTTCACAGATTTTTAGATATAGTCTTTATCGATGTTCCATGATTTTTATCATGGATGGCCAAAAACTCTTCCGACTTGGCCAAGTCAATTCAACTCCCAGCAAGCACCTCGCCTTGAAAGGCGAGAAATTGCTGCTGCCCTGCCAGAGGTAAGGAATTGTCACCATTGAGGCTGAAAAACCACTGGATATACCCATATACCACCTTATTTTTTGGGGTTTTCCATTGCTTTTTGATGTGTTTGTTTTTTTTTTTGTCTCATTTTTCGAGGCCTCAAAGACAAAAAACACAACTGGATTCTTGGGGGTTCCAAATTATCAATCGACAAGCCCATCTTTTCCCCTTTATGCCATCGTTAGGTCATGAAATTTGGGATAATTTGGGGGTACCCTATGTTCAGACCCCTCTTTCGCAAATATGGTGAGGTTACAGGACCCTGCGAAATGAACTGCCAGGGTCTTAAGTCATTGGGGTAGAAATGGACCCACGAACAGCTGGTCATTTTGGAAGATCTGAAACCATCCCACACCTGGGACCTATTAATGGGATTTCCATTGTTGGGTCAGATCGAAATCTCCAAAATGCCAGTTCGTATTACCATACCCAAAAAAAACAAGAAGGGTCTTGGTCACCGTTCAAATCGGCTGGTGAATAAGTTGCTGACTTGACTTGATCTTACCCTAAAGTTTGACCTTACGAAAGGATGTGAAAAAGAACAAATCTAGACCCGCAGAAGCAAAAGTAGGATGTGCTTAAGAAAAGAATATGACCAAGACAAGGGTGATGTAGTCAACACCATGATGCATCTGAACCAGCAAACATTGGTCACAAAATGACAAAACCGGCCGATTTTTTTAAGTGGATGCACCATGCACCCCCAACAAATACAGGTGTATATATATATACCCTAACGCTCCCGATTGACTCCGGGACCTCATAGCTACCGGGGTGTGGCAACATAGACCATTGGTGAGACCCCATGAGGCCCCATGACACCCCATGATAAACTGACCCCTCCTGGAGACACCCCCTTAGAAGATATAAACATGGTTCATACATAAATCTCTGTTACTATTGGGATTCTTTAAGTTCAATCTTGTAAGAACCTGCCCATTCCACCAGATTATCTGCAGCTTTGTGTTTGCTCTGTGGCCGTCGCGGTGCACACTGGGTGATCCATTGGAGTCTCGGCTGCAAAGGCAGCAAACAAACCTGGGTGTAAAGGTTTTAGACATCCTCCTGAGATCGGAGATGTAACGCAAGTAGGAGAATGTATCTTTCCAAAGACCTCAATGATAAGGAAGAACGGTGGCATGTTCTGGAGATCCGTCCCATCACACCTATGAAACTTTCACCGCACAGAAGAGTATAAAATCTTGGGTTGATCAGTGTGGTCTTTGTATCACTCAACATATGTTGGAAGTGATGGTGCTTTGTCAAAAGCCGCCAGCAAGCACGATTGGGGTCATGTGCGCCCCTGGTAGCAGCACTTTTAGAATTCAGGTCCGAGTACAGTTGTAAGTGTGTCATCCCACGGTCAAACATTTCTTGTCCTTCACTTGGGCAAAGTAAAATGTCACACTCGTCCATCATGCGGAGAACTTCACAGTAAGTCCACAAGCAATGGGCCACCTCCTTGTCCAACTGTGAACCATTAGGTCTGTTCCCCCAAGTCATTGCTTTGTCGCAAAGCCAAAAAGAGATAGTCTTGGAAGCCGCTGCCTTGGAATTGAGACTGGGATAGCTATTTCTGGTGAGCCGCCCCAGCCGACTTGGAGTAAAGCGTGGCTGTGTAACATTGATCTTTTTGTTTTTCTTCCAAGCGTTAAATTCTGCGTATGCAACGTGCAGAAACTCCTCCAATACGAGTCGATACAACCCGTTCCTCCAAGCTCCAAAAGCACCTGTCTCGATCAAGTATGTGAGCACACTCCCATTCAAAGATTTCCCTGTTCCGAGAAGTTGACTGTGCATCACGTCATGTAACACACGCTCTAGTCGAGACCCTGGAATGGAAAAGATTGGATTGAAATCACTGGGTGCTACCCCGTGCAGCTGAAAAAATGCATCATGGTCCAACTGAGTCTGCACATGTGCAGAATTCAACCGAAAGTCTCCAATAGTCATCGAAAGGTCTGGATCCTTTTTTCTGACCAAACACCGGCTGCACATGTCATTTCTGCGAAAATTGTGCATTCCAAACTTTTCAGATACGTATTTCAGATCACCTTGCGTACTGCTGTATGCGAACGTGTATCCCCTTGAAGACCATGGAAATTCTTGATTTGGATCGCACATCTTGGCAACCCGACGTGCAACATGATCCAAAATTTGTTTGTGGGTGTTCTCCGTGCAGTAGTGCTCACACACACAACATATGCAAAAATACCGACTCAAAGGTGGTTTACCATGACCAAAGTCACTGGACCATCCCATCACGCAGACCACCCCGCCCTCCGTGTTCCGAAAGGACTGTACCTCGTCCCCGTACAAGGAAAGCGGTATCAACTTTGCCCTTCGTGCAGCATCTAAATTTTTGGCCGGGTGATCCCTGAACCAACTGCAGTGTTTTTCCACATGGTCCCAGTATGCTCGAGCATCAACATCTCCAAGAAAGAGATGTTTGAAGAGATCTTCACTCTTAGCAAAAACTGCCGCTGCAAATGCATCAGGAAAAATGATTGGCAACTTGCGTGTGTTCGTTCTTTGCGTCTTGGGATCGTACATCTCCACTTCACAGTGTTCAATTGGGATTGGTAGTGAAAGCCCGTGTCTCCGAATGAGTCTTTGTAGGTCCCGTTCACAATTCTGTGGCTGATTGCCATGATTCCCTATAGCAGCTATTTTTCTGATAAGTTCTCCTTCAGGCACATGGCCATTAAAACGCTGGCAAAGATTGATGGATGCCTGTGCGAGCTCTTGTGCCTCATTTTGGCAAGCCCCTCCCAAAGAAATAATTATAAGCATGTGACCCATTTTATAGCACCAAACATAGAAAAAAATGAAAAAATGAAAAACATATCTTTAATGGGAGAAGTTTGTAAAAAGAACAACCCAGATACCTTTACTGCACTCATTTTGCCAGAAGAGAAATCATTCAGAAGAATGTCTTGCAGGTTCCCTGATGTAGTTGGTGCTGTAGGCAAGGGTCTTGAACTGGAAGACCGGTCCTGGTGAGCAACGGTTTAACAATGACAATGACTTCAGAAAAACTTTAAGATTTCATCGTTATGGTGTACTTGACATTTCTAGGCTGGTGATTGTTTCTAAAAAGAAGTTTCATGAATAGAATTTGCCCATGCAGTCTACATGACCTCCCTACACGCTGCTCCTCGCGGTGGTTTGCCAGCCGAGGACACTTTGATGGTCTCACCTGGTCCGCAGTATTTCCCGATGCAGGACAAGATGGATGGGATCTGGTGTGGGTCAACAGTGACTGGGGATGGTGCTGATAAAAACATATATAACTGATATGGGTATCCGTTCATATATATAATACATATGTATATATATGCCTTCATCCACCTACCCCCCAAGAAAGGCCTGTGCGGCTAGTGCACGAGTTCTCTCATCTTGGATGCCTGCGTGGGTGAGGAATGGTACACAATAGTTGCATGTAATTGCCATATCCACACCTGTGACATATGCTATCATCATCACACGCAGCTGCATGGAATTTTCATTCTCTTTCCGCACATGATGGAATCACGTGTTCAAACACAATCAGCTAGTATTGCGACATGTGAAGTTCACACATCTAAGTTCACACATCCTCTGGATGTCAGTCAAATCCAGCGTCATGCTCGAGAGGCTGTGCCGCCGAAACAAATAGCTAGTTTTTTAAAATATGTGAATGCAATTTCATGTCATCCCAACGTCAACTGCATGACTCCCAACCCCAGATTTGCAAGAGCAAATCAAAACACGGCAGGATGGTATCACTGCTCATCGTCGTCAACCTGGCCGAACGGTGCGGGTATGGGAGGATACAGGTGGCTGGGAAATTTGTATACATTTTCTTAAGTGAACACGTTCAGGGGGTAGTTGATAGTTGAAGAATTCTTTATATATTACCATATGTTCATTTTAAATCGATTACCTAGTAAGTGCATCATCAATGTTCCTAGCCTCAGCAGATTCCTTCTTCTTGCGTCCCCTCCCTCGAACCAAAGCATTGGCCCCGGATCTGTCTTCATCGAACATCTCTTGGCGCTGCTGTGCCAATTCAATGGCGGCCCAAAGCGTCTCAGCTGGTACAGCATCTCCCTGACAAGTTTTTGATTGCTGGTTAAGGGATAAGATCTTTAGATTCATCGCATGCATTTGGGTATCTCAAAAATCATTGGTTTTGCACAAAAGGTGCCTGGCGAACGTAGCCTTTGAGTTGCGAATAACTTTCTTCCAACTCATGTGCATGATTGGCAAGCTGAGTGCCTCAGAAACTTGTTGCCATGGATCATCAAAAAGGAATATATGTATTGTGGCATGAGGTGGTTTTGGGAAAATAAAGTCAAGTTACATAGGGCTCCTTGGTGCTTCAAATGGCCAATTTTCAGGGGAAGCAACTTCGCATCAGACAAGTCCTTTAAGACTTTGGGCATCAACCATTCAGCCGCGGCGATGGGCTCATCAGGCATAGGCCTTGGAAAAAACACATAGGTTATATACACATAAAATGGAATTGTACATGGGGGGATAAGATGATAGTGCTATATAATATATAGATGCACATTCACCCGTTATATAATACGCAGGGAAAAACAAAAGAATCAAACATGGGTTTCATCTCCCCAAAGGATAGAATGTGATAAGGCACTTGGCTATACTTGGCTAGTACTTTTTGGGTTCACCATATGAAATTCAAGTTGTTGAGCTGGGATGCTTTTTCTTCCTCTGCTGCTTGGGTTCCCCCAATGCCTTGCCACCCACACGAGGAGCCCCAAGAACCGTTGGAGTTTCCGTGGAGCTGGAGCTGGGCAAAGGTGCGCCCGCGCGGGGCTGATTGGCCACGTTGCTTAGCAAGTCGCCCCCGGTCGTAGCAAATTGGCTGGCAGCCTCAAGCAAAAGCCGTAAAATAATGGTGTTTATTATAGATGGGATGCATGTGATATTACCATATACCCCACCCCACACAAGATGATATGAGGGTTTCCATCAATGGATGGGAAATCACCCACTTTAATGGTTTTCCCCATCATAAACTATCCATTTTGGGACGCCTCCACATCATCCACGTTAATGGGTTTTCCACATTATAAACTATACATTTTGGGGTACCCCCCTTGGAACCCCATATATTATATATGATTGGGAAATTACGTATGCGCATAATAACCCTTGCCTCTGAGTCGGGCTCCACTTAGCCCTCCGTTCGCATTTCAATCCTGTCCTCCGACTGGTCCTTGTGGGTATAAGAGAGTTCAAGCATCACCTGGGCCAAAAGTAGGGCTACCGGACAATAATAAATATTTTCAAAAGGACATGGTTTACTTGAATAGTTATGTTAATCCGAAGTACGTAGTACAAAGTCATCCCCGGATCATTTGGCATGTCTGGATGTTCCCTGTACTCACCGGAATTGGTCTTGCTCGTGATCAGCTGCTCCACCAGAGGCCTGTTGCCATTGTAGAGCGCGAGCAACTGGTCCTTTGTGCACCAGCCTCGGGAAAAGTGGGGTCCCCAGTGGTTGGAGGGTATGCTATGGAAAAATCCTGAATGAACATGTATCATGATTCTGATGATTATTGTTGCTGAAAAGTGTCAAGTAGTAAGAATAGTTTGGAATTTCAACCAAGTAACCCATTTTTTCTTCCCCGTCTCAATTTCTGATCTTGACCGGCTCATGGACACTCGGATCCTGATTGGTCGTTGATGTTAAGCTGCAAAACATGTGCACACCTCTGGCTGACTTTGCCATGAAAAACATGACATCATGCATATTTTTTTACATATAAACTGCAGTCGTAAGTTGCAACCCAAGTATCAAACCCCAGTTTCCACCGGCTTCACACCACTTGGAAAACAAAGCATTTTTGGCAGCTCGGCTTCGGGTTCTGACTGCTTCACTCCATGCCTCTACAAATTCCACTGGGACAGAGGGTGGGGGAATGTCACTGCTGACCTGCCGCTTGAACACCATGTATTGGGCTTGGCGTTCTTTGTAGTCACCGGGCTGCAGGGCTGCTGTTCCAGGCTGAACTTGGAAGTCAGAAGCTGATGCAGCTGCAGTTGAAGACACTGGGGTGGCCTTCGGGGGTGGTGCCTTTGCTGGCGGTAACTTTGCTGGCGGTTGTGTTTTTGCAAGTGCTTTGGGTGGCGTTGCTGCTGGTGGTGGGGGAGGTGCTTTGGGGGCTTTGGACTGGGCGGATGCCTTTGGAACAGTGGCTGCTCCATTGCCTGGGGCTGCATGGCTTGTGCTCCCATTGCTGGTCGGTGCACACGTGGTCTCTTGATCCTTGGCTTGTTGGTTGTTTTGGTTCGGCAAGTGGAAGAAAGTTGTGTGAGGTGTCGGAACTATGGGCGTGGAAGTTGAAGGTGTGGCTGAGCTTGATGTGGTTGCGACCGTGCGTGCATCATCCGAAGGGGCCACACGGGTAACAGGCTCTGTCTTCACATGGTTTGCCATTGTCGGGGCAGGTGGCAGTGCGGGGGCTTTGTTCTGAACAGGCGCAGCTACTTTGGGAGGTGTAGCTTTCTTGATGGGTGCATCATTTTGTGTGTGCAGTTCACGTTTGACTGGGGCAGCTCCCTTTGGAAGTGCTGAAGGTGCTGGTACGGGCTGCGCTGGTACGGGCTGCGCTGGTACGGGCTGCGCTGGTACGGGCTGCGCTGGTACGGGCTGCGCTGGTATGGGCTGTGCTGGTGCGGGCTTTGCAGCAGGTGGCTGTGAGGGCATCGGGCAGGGTGCTTTGGCCGGTGCTGAAGGCTTTGAAACTGGTGCGCTCTTCTCAACAGCACTAGCACTAGCAACTTCCATTTTGATGGGCATCCCCGTTTTGCGGGCTGCTGGCATGGTATCACTGCGCTGGGTGGGACGGGCTTTTTTGTCCACATGGTCGGCCTCCCCGGGTGTCTTGGGTGTATTAACCACATCCAAAGAGTGGGTTGAAGTCCCCCGCACTGGTGTAGCATTCCTAGGAAACCAGCACATGTTTTACAGCATCCATCATTTGCAAAACAAATGTTGTTTGCATATAAAAGACATCAAGACACGTGCAGGGCTCCATACCCTCAAAAGATAAGGTTGCCCTAGTCAATCCCGGTGTTGGCTCCGTATATGGAGACGGCAGTTCCTGCCACAAAAGCTAATCAAAAACCACGAGAACAATCCTGCCAAAAGGTGCTGAAGCTGTGGTTTGACATCACCAACAGCGGCCTGGCTCTCAGACTGATCAGTAGTCCACGGAACAGTGGTTTGGGAATCCAAAGAACGGAGCTCGTCCTGGGGAGTAGTAGGTGATGCATACTGATGTGGTTGGTTGTAAATCATCCATGCAACCAAATCCATTCATGAAAACTGTGTTTCAACTCCTTCCCAGCAACATATGGTGATGTCAACGTAGATCTTCTGGGAGGTGGTGTTTCCAACACACCGGGACGCTGGTCACCATCATCGGAATCCACCTCCAATGGGGCTTCTGGATTTTTGGATAAACATGACCTTTGGTTCAAAGATTATATATATATATATATATGTTATATATAAAACTTAAGGGAATGTTGTCCCCCGCCTTCAAGGGCTTGAGTGCACCCGGGTACTTTGCGAAGAAGTTTTGTATACGAATATGGTAAGGGACCGGTTTCTTTGCTGCCGCCTCCGCACAACATGCGAAAGGTATCCAGGATAGGCTAATTATATAAATATTGAAACAAGATTTCATTATATTCATAAATGGGGAAAACAGTTTGAATTGTAGTCTCATTAATGGAGCATATTTTCCGAAGAACACACCGGTAGATTCCCCAAACATATGGCCTCCACAATTGTAGGTGCCACTTCATCATTGGTCGCCATGGCGGGTCCACCCAATCACACCTATGGGAACTCTGCTATTGACCTGAAATAGACGGTGATACATAAAGAAACTATGGTGGTATAGTTACATACCCTCAAACCCGATAATCCAATGGCAACATATCCCCAAACCCGATAGTCCAATGATAACATATCCCCAAACCCGATAGTCCAATGGGCTACATGTAGTGAAAAGTCTATCCGACGCTATCCGACGCTATCCGACGGTCGGGGCGTCGTTTCCTTTGTTTTTGAGGGGTCACGATAGCCTATCCGACGCTATCCGACGCTATCCGACGCACATCCCAGGTCGCCCATTGTCAGCCCTGTACTGTCCGATATCCCAATGGTACTGACAGGGGTTCCAGGTTTGATTTGGGAGATCCTACAAAACCACTTATTTGATCTATGGTGGGGACCTGAGCAAATGAAAATCAATTGATGCTTTATTGATCACAGGGGTCATGACAGCATACCATTTCATTTCATGTGGAATCGTATACCCCCAAAACACAACTTTGTTTTTTTTCAGCTGGGTTGCAGGCAGGCACCCTGGGATTCAAACGCAGTCTGCAGTGCTCCCCCTCTATTGGAACATAATGGTTTGCTACCAGTGCCTTCTAATTGCATGATATCATTTCCGGAGGAGTAAAGCACTAATTGTGAGCTCGAACACAAGCTTTCTATTTGAAACCCTCATGTGAAAAAGACATCTATCGGGCCCGTCTCTTGCGGGAAGAGAAATTAGAGATAGCTCGCTGACCCTTCCGGTCGGCCAGAAGCTGCACCAAGAAATCTTCAACCTCGCCAAGCCTGAAAGGAAGGCAAATCAGCATCCAATGGCTCACCAGATTCCCATGATGAATAGCTATGTACCTATATACAATATACATATATATTTTAATTTTGATGCATCAATTGCAGAAAATAGGATCATGGTGTTCCACCCACAAGTTAAAAACCCACTATTCAGGGCTGGCAAGGAGATTCCCCACGCAACACACCCATGGTTGTTTAATCACCAACAGATTATCGGATTGGTTAAAAAAATACATTCTTGTGATCTTGTGATCTGGGGTTCCAGGGTTCATCAGAGCCACTTGGCGTCATCCCATCCATCGGGGCTATAGTCAACCAAGTGATCTGGAGTGTTGACCTTGCTGGCATAGAGGTCAAAATTCAGAGCCACCTGAACGAGGCGTTAGTTAAGTGACAATCCATACTTATTTTCACTATTCAACTACGTTCCCCCGGTTTTAAAATATATATATATATGAACCACATCCGTTATCAATCCCCACGGCAACCAAGCCCAGGTTTGGTGCTGCACCACTTCAAGCACTTCATTCGAGCTGATAGTACGGGGCCCATTCAGACAGGGGCTGCGAATACAACCTTTCAAAACATGTTGCATGCATGAGTATGATATATAATATCTATATAATACAGCTGAGGGGCATGGCGCCCGAATGCGGGAGGATATACCTGTGTAGCTTTGAGCCCTGGCCCGCCCTGGAATCTCCAATGACCTTCGGCATTCTGATATCGGATTGTTGTGGGCCCCCCTGGTCCTCCTCCAGGTTGGAACATGCTGCGGTCATACTTCCTGCGCATAGCAAAAGTCTTTGGGAATTGTGGTTAAGGTCCATGAACACAACTATAGGTAAATATATACTTTGAACATCTTAGCCAAGTTAAGCCAATGGTTTGACATCAACATGTCCTGTAGAGGTGTTGGATAAATGGATCATTGCTGAGCAACTTTGTTGGCTTTTGGGTAGCGGCGCCAAAAATCCCCAATGACGTATGCACTTCATGAACAGCCCTGGCTGCAAAGAGGGCCCTGAGGCGGTCATGGAGATGCACCTAAGTAGCTAAGTATCTTCCGATATCTTCCATTTGGTATCTGAAAATCTTGGAGCACACTTGCATACCGTTTAAAGAAATGCAGGCCAGGAACCAAGCTGGCCAAAGGGTTCTCCAACATCCAATGGCACCCCCAAAACAACGCAGCCATAAGTAACAATGTCACCTGAGAAGTGTGGTGCATGATCATATGCCGGGGCCAAACATCCTTTAAACATCACTGTCACCAACTAAGCATCATAGGTTTATTTTGCAAATGCCATATTTTGCTTGGATCACCTGAGGCCTTTACTCGGCTTATCATCAAATTTGCAGCTTGCACGCTGGGTACGCCCCTGGGTGGTGGCTGTATGGGTTCAACATGGCTACGTGGTTTTGATGACAATTTTCAATATGTGCGTATGGTAGGGTACCGGCATTCGTCCCATTGGTTCATCTCGGGAGCGACCACTTGTGCCTCCTGAATCTTGATTTGACCATGCATGACATCACTGTGCAACTATCATAAGCTGAAAGCTACCATGTTCAACGGACACTTTTTTTGAAACCGAGGATCGATTTATCAGGGTCCAGGAACTACACACGGGCCCACAAGATAGCAGTCCATGCTTGGCCATGGACAGCACCGAGATCAAGTGTCGGAGAAATCCCCGGGGTGTTAGGATGTCCTGAATCAACAGCTTTCATCATAGCATGAACGTAGTTTTAAAATTGCATCGCATACAAGGTTATATATCCTTTCAACTACGGTGGAAGTCACACTTGACAACCAGCCCTACCCCTGCCAAGGTACATCAGCTTCATTGAGAACCAAATCCAGCCGGGCAACCCGGTGACCTCGACCCCTGAAGCCCCGGGCCACAGCACCTTCACCACTGAAGTGGTCCACATTGAAGTACGCGTGGTCACCCTCCGGCAATTGGAAAGCCTTGCTGGAGGGAGCTAGTGGGTTCTATCTTAAGAGTTGCATATGGAGAACCATTTATTATAGTCATGACTGTTTCAAAACACAAAGTACTTCTTTTTGTTTACCATGGCAAGTAGCATTCAGTATCATCTGTATGATCTGGAACAATCGAATTGGAACATACCCGGGGTGAGATGGCCCACGAACAGGCCGAGGGATTCGAAGAGGACGTTCTTCATCACCAGCATCGTCCCTTAGTTAGATCATATAGAGGGGCTTTCTAAAATGGGGGGACCCCTAAATCATGATTTTTATAGGGTTTCCTTTATAAATAAATATAAACCATTGGTTTGGGGGTACCACCATTTTTGGAATCCCCCAATCATGCATCACAATAAGATGATTTAGATATACTTGACATGATAAACACTGCATGGATTGCATCTACCCACTTCATAATATTTGACATGTCTCAGTAGGCCAGCTGGTCGCTTCAAAAGACGTGGCGGCATCGCTCCCAAGGCTTGTTGGTGGTTGGTCCAAGCTGAAGCTGAAACTACCCGCAAAGGCCAGCAAATTGGGTCAGTGTAATCATCCATCCGGAATTGATTCATTGGGAAGCATTTCATGCAGCTCTATGACCAACCAAGTTACAGAGCACTTTTTTTGTTCTCATCGCAAATGTCTCAGCTGCCACACGCGCACACGCACACTGCAGTCTAGAAACGCAGCATGGCCTGGCCAAACCCAAATTTCTTTCGGTCATGGGTTATAGGATTGGAACACAGCAGATGCATGCTTTCACATGCCATTGCCACCGCACGGCAAAAGGTTGCTCCCAAACAGACAAGGTTCTTATTTTCAAAATATGATTCCTTCAGCGGCATTGTTTTTGATTGGTGGGGTGAGCAAACCGAATGTCTAAGTGCGGCATACCCCGAAAAATCCAACCCATGAGTCCATGTGGGGCTCAAAGCCTGGCTACCGTGATCCAAACAAAAAGATTGTTTGAATTTAGAGTAGACATTTCATATCATGTATCACCATGTCTCTGAATCACCGTAGCTACACATGAGGGATCCTCAGCTTTCACCTGCGTCCCCATCTTCTTCTACACTGTCCACTCCCCCGTCTGCAGTTTCCTGCTGTGGAACTTTGCCATCCTGCTGGGGGGTCACTGTCTTTCGGCGAGGCCTTGACAAAAAGTTACCCACATACTCCTTGGGCACAACACCATAGGCCTGAAACATTGCACTGGCAAGTTGCGCAAACCTTTGGGCGCTGGTCAGATCTTCCTTGCCATGCAAAGCTTGGTATTTGCGGTAAGCATTGCTATAAACAGTACC